GCTTGTCGAGTTATTGTGATTAAGCTTATATCGAAGATTATCAATTCTACATAAAGGCTGCGATTCTGATTTTAATTCTAACAGCAAGGAAGAACTAGCAATAACTGACCTCAATATGAACCACCGACAAAAAATCTATATATGTTATATGGACTGTTACCAATTTTGGTTCTTGTTTCAAACTTCACTGAATTAAAGATATCTTAAGCAATAGTTTATTTCATTGTTTTTTATTGACCTAAAATTTATTGAAGTAAAAAACTTCAAGAAGAAAAAATATAGGTTTTCTTAAGATTCCGAAAATAAGTTTACGCTTCAATTCAAATTGAGTTTCCATAAAAAGCCTAAGCTTCAATTCAACTTACAAATGCAAACTAAAAATTTCTTCTTCACAAAAAAATTAAACAATTATAATTAAACATTTTTAAGTACAGCGCAAAATCTATTTAAAGTCGGGATTCCACCATTTAAAAAAACTTAATTCCTTATTGTTAAAACAAGAAAAATTAAGTTTGAGCAGGAAAAGATAATAAAAAATTTATACTAGTCTAACTATGAGTCCAGAGGGAAATTATGAAATTATGGTCACACGTTAAGATCATTTATCCACAAGGAAAAGGGTAGTTTTTTATGTTGTCCCAGCTTATGAACTACATTTAGTTTTTTGGTTACTTTACTCGTATTTTCAGAGCAGCCAAGGATATAAAAAAATCTCCCTCTTAATTTGTTGAATGTGAAATCAAATAAAAAAGCTTGGATGGTTCGAACTCTTGATTATAATTTTACGGGTTAATTATGTAGCTAGATCGTTGACAGAAACAATAGTAGTACTTTCAAAAAAGCTTCGAAATTTTATCTCAAAAAAAGAAACAGCAAATTATAAATGTCGTGAAAATTTTGAAGGAACTTTGCATGTTCTGATTTTATAGATAACGTCATGGCGCAAAAACTAAACAAAAATATAAAATCAAAACAATTTTGTCACAATAACTTACCGTCAAATTATCATGAAAAAGATTGAGTTTGCCGAGAAAATGGAACCCTAGTTGATCAAGGAAGGTTACCTTGCACGGTTTTGCAAGATAACCTACAATGAAAACTTTTCACAAAATTTTATTCTGAGCGCCAGAAAAACACTATGGAGATTCGGTTTTTATTTCAGCGAATTTTGAGTTCGGATAAGAAAAAAGTTCGGATAAGAAGGTTGAACAAGTTTTGAAACGTTTCTTTGATATGCTCATTTTTACCGCATTAGTAGTGTAAAATGATTCAGGTTGTGATTAAAATTTTTGCATTTCAAATTGAGATTTCAAACAATTTTTTGATTTTTTTTGGAATAATTAATCTAGATTTGGAACTCTAGTGATTGAAATTGAGTTTTTTGTTGTTTCTCTCAAAATTTTGAGTAAATAGAATCAATTAGTTTGGTGTTTTTTCCTTCACATAATTACGATATAAAATTATGTTCATATATTATGCGGTTTTATTTTTTCGATTAATTTTTAAAATTATTTAAATTTTACCCCTAAGCAAACGCTGTCTTCGCGTGTAACGCTGTTTGTTCCCACAAAAATCATATCTTCAAAGATCTTGTTTTAAAAAAGTTGTCTTAAAGGCGGTTATTTTGCAAGATCTTGCAAGATACTTTAAAAAGATGCATCATCTTTAAAAGGTTCTCGCAAGATTCTTGCAAGATCTTGCAAGATAACCTCCCTTGATCGGCAAGGGAGGACCAACATACTAAATTGTTAGATTATATGATCTCGAATCACATTGTTTGCAAGAATATCAACCCTGATTTTTGGGGACAAAAATTATACCTACAACCAAACAAAAAGACTATTGGAGTCGATGAAGATGGTTAAATTGACTGAAACATTTAAAAGGAAAACAATGTATATAGATGATTTATCTAAATTTAGATGACGAGAAGTTTTGTCATAGCTGAGTTACCTAAAACCAAATTAAATAAATATGTTTGTTCTGCAATGATCACAGTCGATTGATTTTTTATTAAGATAATATCAGCCGAAAAAGAAAGACTATCAGAAGATTAAAAGTTATTTTACAAAACGGTAATGATTTGATCAAAAAAAAAACTCCGGTTTAGTACATGAAGCCAAAAAAGGCATTGTAGTTTCTAGAACTCGGTTACATAATGTTGAAAACATAAAAAAGTTGAAACTGCAAAAAATGCAAATCATTTATAAACTAAAACTTGCCAATTGATCGTTTTATGAAAATCAGCATAACAATCTGCGTAAGAAAATTAAAAAATAATAATAAATGCAGAAAACTCTCCAAAAACTACTTTATGGAAATTCTTATCAGACAATTAAAAGTTCTCAGAGCGAAATAAAATTATGTAAAAACACTTTAACCTTCAATAAAGCTGATAAAAACAATTAGGAGCTGTATAAAATCATCAAGGCTCCTCAGATCAAAGTTTTTATTGCAGGAAGGCGGGGAGAGAGGTGAAAACAAAAAAATTGAAATTTTTTTTTCAAACCTGTTCTCTGCCCTCAATTGGTTAACTTTCATCAGGTTAGATATTAGAAAAATACACATCACAAGGCTAAACTGGGCATTTTGTGAATTGTAAGCGGATTCCTAACAAAGGACGCTTCCTTTGTTCTTCTTTTGTTCTTTCATTTTATATGATTGTTTCGACAAAACTATAACATTTATAAAGACTTGTCTTTGGATTCTAGGAACATACATACACAAAATTGAGCACCTATCTAGTGAGCAGTTTGGCCTCGTAAAGAAGAAATTATTCTTTTTTGTCATCGCTTCGGTTTAGAAAGACTTCCAAATCACCGAACAAACCATATTTGTCGACAGTTGCCAACAGCGCAGTTCAAATATGAGACAACGACACCAACTACTAGCACATAACATCAATTTTGAAACTTTTCTATTATGCGGCCCAAAATATACCAGAAGACAAAAAATACTTGTCATACAATTTTCATATATGAAAAAATTTTTACAATACAACTTTGTACAATTCCACAACTACAGAAAATTGTTTAAAAAACTCTACGATTAAGGAAGTATAAGTGAAATGTAAGTGGTGTGCATTTTTTCATGAATAAAACAATTTTTATTTTTCAAGTTTCGCTAAAAATTTTTGCGTTTTGTCCGAATACACAAAAACCAAAAACTTTGTAACACAATACACTCATTTGGTTGAGAGGAAGAAATATCAGAGATACTCAATTTTTAAATCAAACTTGTATAAAATATAAATATATAGTTCACTCAGAACTAGCAGTATAAACCTTAAAATTTTGTATATAGCTAGAAAAAAATTAGTGGCATCTTTTTTAATTTAAAATCGTGGCCTGATTTTTTTTGACTACTTGAAGTATTCTTTGCCTAATAAAATCTTTTAGAATTTCAGTCACTTTTGTTTCTTTTGTAGAAAAATTTAGCCTAGATTACGATACTGACAAAAATGTAGAACCTTCACATGCAAATTTTTTTTTAAAAAAAAGCTTGTCTGATGTTGCTCAAAAGTAAGAAAAATTTTTGAAATTAGGATTTTTCATGATGTAGAAATTGCTTCTCGTACAACTTTCATAAATTGTATGATGAAATTGTATGATGAACATTTTGTGCCCGGAGGTCAAACCTGGTTATTAGATTAACAACTGAGCTTTTTTTTTCATTGAAATCTTAGGCTTATTTAATCTATCTGGTATGAACTTCAATCAATCAGATTCGAGCTTTGTGATCATATTTTCAAAATAGCAAAAAAGATCTTTTTATGGGCCGTATAACAAAAAAAACCCTATTTTTGATTTTTTTGGTTTTTTGGTAAGAAATTACAAGATGAAGGCAAGAACTTTGACCCCGGACGTGATAGAAATAAAGTATTTCAGTTCTTTTAACCAACCTTATCAAATTTTTCTCATTGTTTGCTCCTCTCACCTAATTAACATTTTACCGTTTCTAGAGTAAACAAAATGAGATCATCTGTGATATCAATCAAGTTGAGTTAATTGAACTTGTTAAATTGTAATTTACCGCTGTTATCATACAAAAATATTTGCGAGTATTCAATTCGTACCTGGGGACATTTCGTGACAGTAGAAGGAGCGAAAAACAATAATACAGGCGAACCATACCTCTTGTGCCGAATGTAAGCGCATCAAAGCAAAACGATTGCCGATGGGTTCATTAAAATTACGCATGCTACCAATTGATACTCAATCAAAGTATATTCTCCATTTTTGTTCTAAAAACGCCCTTCTGCTCCTAATTTTTGTTGTGAAGTAGCGCTTAATTTCCTACTTAAAAGCTTTGATTGCTCAGAATTTACCACGCTCAAAAAATACTAAATCTTTTTGGGCAATTTTTGTCTGTGATTTCTGTTTCATCATTGAATCAAAAGTTAATTGTCATTTTACCCCAATTCAACTTGTCCCAGCCCATCTTGTCTTACACTAACTTGCTCCACAAGACAATAAGTTGACTCATAATAGTCAAGTTGTAATTTTGCACAAAAAAGATTTAAACAATGACGCAAAACAAAAATATTAGTTTTTTTTCGTTTCAAAAGCGTTAACTGCGGATTATTGCCACAATTTTGCATTTATTGACAAAAATTACGGCTTAGATGATTTTTGAGGCTCACTTTAAACAATTTTGAATCAGTTTCCTTCCCTTCTTATCTCAAAACGAGTTCAGTTTACCATTAGCACTTGCTGGCCCATTTAGTATAGGGCAAGTTGGCAGATGGCCAGTTGTCCTGGGGCAATTAGTCCTGACACCGTATCAAAGGCGATTTGCCTTAAGATTAACATTATTTGCCAGATGTTAAAAGTCGTCGCAAAATCTAACTTGAAAGACACACATCGTCATGACCGGAGCTGTTTGATAATTTCTCATTGCAAAAAAGGCTTTGGTAGTCAATTTTTAGTGTCATTGAGTCTACTTAGGTGCAAATTACTTCCATTTAGATAAATTTAGCGGCATATTTCATCTTATTTTAGGCCAAATTATTGTCTCGCAGTCGGCAAAATGGACTCCTACCCCGCGGAGCCTACTGAGAACACTGTCGAATGTGTGAAACATGTTCTTTGTGAAAGTTCATCCGAACACGAACCAGTCGAAAGTTCAGAATTAAGCTCCTTGACAAGTCCTTGCAAAAAAGTTAAACCGAAGCTCAATCGAATACTAATGAAGAAAGCAGTCTTATCAGCTATTGCAACCAAAGCAAGACAGACTGAACAAGCGTACCAGTTTTTTTCCGACAACCAGTTTTCACGCCGGTTTTGCGCCAAGTTTTACTCAGATAACAGAGACCCAGAGGTGTGCAAGGGTTGTGGATTCCCAGAAAATGAACACGTAAAGGTAAGATGCATTGCCTTTTGACAGTATTTGGAGAGTTAGGAAAAATAAAACAATAATTTGAGCCCCGGGTCGAGGTTCTCACAGTATGTTTCGACTTTCAAAGCACTTACGACTTTTACTTTTAAAAGCATTTCCGGAACTCGGGGACCTTTTTAGTACCCCCTCCCCGGCCGCACCAGCCTTGCGAAAATTCTAGTTCAAGGAAAAGTGAGTAAAAAAGACAATTGTTTTGTCAAGAGTGAAATTTTTTCAGTTTTTCTGCAATTTCCGCTCATCTTGAATGAGAGTTCACCGCAAACATTTTTGATGAGTTTTGCAGTTACTATAATGACACTTATTGCAAATATTACAAGATCAAATGATCAAAAGGATTCAGCGTAGAACTAGCAACAGTTTCCAAGAGCAAATTTTTGTGTATTGATGATATCGAAAACTTCGTTTAGATTTTGTCCCCGCTTAACCGATGGGCGGCAGATAGTCTGGAATGGAAACCCGACTTCCATCTAATTAACGAACCCTACCCGAACGAGACCCTCAAAATCCGACTGGTTGACGAGCCCGCTGGCATAGACAAAAGCGCCGACTTGATGATTATAGCCGACAACACACACCCTGGCATGCCAGTTCAAGTTTTGGTCGAGCGATGGAAAGTCCCGGTTCCAGATTTCATAGTTTCTGTGATCGGGACAACGCACGAAAGTCCAGTAACTCCGGAACAATTTCAATATTTCAAGCCAGATTTCAACCGAGCAGTGTCTAGCAGTAATGTGTGGGTGATTGGAGGAGGAAGTTTGCACGGAGTTGACAAACTTGTCTCTGAATGTCTGAAAGGTATAAAATTGACTCACCTATTTTCCAACACATTGAGTTTGACCTGTTTTTTTTTTTGCTCACAATCATTTGGTAACCCGGTACATACCTTATACCATTTCAATGTTTTCAAGAGACAGAAAAGATGGAATTTGAAGAAAAAAAAATTTTGGAATTCTGAAAAAGTTGGCAGAGGCAAAACTTCAGACATTTAATTCAACTATGTCAAGTTAAAAATTAAATAGATGAAGTTATCAAACACCCTTGCCAGGAAGCGCTAGATTTTTTAAATTAAAACTGTCTTATTAATAGATTTACTCTGTGATGAATGATCTCTAAAATCTCATAAATTATTGGATTAAGTCCATTAAATTTTCCAAAACAAAAAAAAACGTGGCTGCCATTCAATGGAGAGAGTGAAACCCGTTAAAAAAAACTTTCTTTCAAAATATGCTTTGATACCACCAGCGGAATTAGGGGGAGGGACGCTTTCTCAGGGATCCGACCCCCTGCCGACGCAAAGGGTCCCCATTTGGACTATTATGAGATATCCCTTTTTGGCTGACTGACCCTAAAAACTTTTTAAAAGCGCCTTTTTAAAAGCGCCTAATTTCGAGGGGTGCGCGCCAAAAAAACGCGACTGTTTAGTCAAAATTTTCCAACCAAAATGTGCCTAAAAATAACTGTTTTGGCCTGTTTTTTTTCAAAAATTTGCATGCGGCGCAGAAAATTTGTTAAAAATGGGGTGGAGTCTTTATAGTGAGTTGGGAGAGATCAAAAAATCAATTTGGTTGACCTAAAAAAAAGGTCGTCAAAAATTTTCAATTTTTTTTTGCAAATCCGCCCCCTCCCTCGAGAAAATCCTAGATCCGCCTTTGTTTGTTACATAAACCGATAAATTTTAGACCAAATGAAATTTGCGTAATCAGAAATTCACGGCAAAAAAAACCGCTGAACTATGGTAAAGTGACAATTGCTGAACTCCTAAGCCTCCCGGGTTGACCAAAAATTCTAGTCAAACAATTTTCATATACGGAAAAATGCTAGTCATACACTTTTCATGCAATTTCATAAGTACAGAAAATAGCATGAAAGGTCTATGATTAGAATTTTTTCATAAATGGAAAATTTATGACTAGAATCTTTCCATAAACCAAAAATATTGAATTTTTACATTTTAATTTCGCAAAAGTTTTTGGTTGTGTTCGTAACCAAAAACAAATGACATAAACCTTGGTTACTCAAACGTAGTAACCAAAGGTTTGGGCGTCTCGCATTAATAATGCATTGGAAACAGCCTGAAATGATTATTTCTAAAATTTGATCTTTTAAATAACCAGACATTGATCAAGGCGTACAAAAAGATATAATACAAAAAAGAGGGGTTTTAAGCGTTTTTGAAAAAAGTTATGAGGGGAAAAGGAAAAAAATCCAATATTAGTTTATCCAGGACTACGTTATACACACAAAAAATTAAATTTTGCATGCAAAATTTTTTTTTTCAAAAAATGTTTGTTTGAGTACGAAAATCAATTTGCGGTTGAAAATAAAAACACAAAAAAATTTTGGAGGCAATTTCAAAAACACTTTCGTCCTCACCATCACAAAAAGGCTAGTCATACATTTTCCATATATGAAAATTGTGTGATTAACAATTTTTTTGACAAAAATTTTTTGTTTTTTATTTAGTACGATACACCGAATTTTATGCCAAAACAAGAGAAAAGCTTTTCAAAATTTCGACAACACCATTTTAGCAAAATGTATGAAATTTGTATGATTAGTATTTTTTCATAGACTTAATTTATGGAATTGTATGATTGGCATTTTTGTTCTATGACGGTCAACCCGGGCTGACAATGCATTTACAAAAACAGGCGTTCAAACTGTACTCATTTCAATTCAAAAAGAAAAATAAAAAGTCCTCATTGTTTTAGAAAAAAAAACGCCCCAATTAGCTTTTTGATTTTCAATTGTATACAAGGAGCTATAGTACGTCCGATAGTGAGAACATCCGATATTTCAAACATCCGCACTTAGATAGTAATACCTAAAATTATGATGTCAAGATCCCAAAATTAAAAACCTTTCCTTGATACGTTATTTACATTCTAAAGCATCTGTGTATGGAACAACATCTTATTTAAAAAAAGGCATAGTAAGTTACGCCATTGCAAAATTATTCAAGACGTCAATGCAAAACTACAATTATGGGAATTTAGACTTAATTGTGTTGTTTTTAAAAACTGAATTTCGTTTACTGACTACAATCCTTTTCAAGACCACAATTAACTTTTGTTCGAGATTTATCAAATGCTATGAATTTTTTGCATTGTAGCAACTGTATAATTTATGCCATTCAAAAAAATTATTTATAAAATTTGGATTTGATTTTTTAAATCATTTATAATAAATATTTTTATATGCAATTAGATTTAAGCACTCTTTTATATACACTCTTCTAATTACTCTTCAAAAAAGTTTGTATAGCAAAAAAATTGATGTCTAATTTCTGCTTTATTAGTAACATCAAATTTGCTCTCTGTCTAAGTTCCTGCCACCCGTAGTCAACGGAGACTCTACCTACCCGCAGTGAGGCTCCATGGATAATAATCGATTATAATCGATTTTTGTGGTCAAAATTGTTGGCATTATAATCAATTAGCATTGGGATCACGCAATCGATTATAATTCATACAAACCCATTATTTTTTTTTAAATAGAATATTACCCATTTAAAAACGATTATAATGGATTCTAATGGATTATGATTTCTACAAATTTTACAAAATTACCTGAAAAAGCTGCAGTTTTTTCTACACCCCACTCACCTACCCGCTCTCACTTGCCGTAACTCCATAAACCTTCTATCTCCCCTTTTTTGGAGGGGGCGTAAATATCTGTAGTGTGGGAGGGGGCTTGCTAAGGGTGTGTGTGAATTTTAAGGGGTACGTGTACGGGGATATTTTTCACGTATTTCTATGGTAAATGTATGTAAGGGTAAGTGGTGGGGAGGGAAGGTGGTGGTAAGTGACGAAGTAAGTGTGAAGTATTAAGGGGGGAGAAGACAAATAAAAACAAAAAAAATTTTTTGCTGTAGCCAAACGTAAAACACAATTTAGCGATTGCAACGTTCACGTTTTGAATGTTTGATTTCAAGGTTTTGGAAAATCTAGGGGTGATATATTACAATAGATGACAAATTTAAGTCAAATAACTGTATCAGTTTTTGTAAAAGTCAAAATATTTGGCAACAAAAGTGTAAAATTGAATTATCGGTTAACATTTCATCTGGCAGAGTAATGCATTACAAATGTTATCTTAGTAGCTTCCCGGGATGACCAAAATCATTACTATACAATTCTATACATTTCCATACGTACAGATAATTGTATGAAATCTCTATGATAAGCATTTTTCCTAATATGAAAATTGTATGATAGCTATTTTTCTATAAACCAAAAAACGGATTTTGTAAAGTTTTATATATGTAAAATTTTTTAATCACCAGGCTGTTTTATTAGAATCAAACAGCTTTAAAATTTAGTTTATATCTTTTTCGACCATTTTTTGAAATTTTACAAAAAAATTGTATGACAACTTTTTTTTCATACACTTGATGTATGGAATTGTCTGATAAGCATTATCGGTGTATGGAGGTCAACCCGCGTTATGTACAGTTGATTGAAAATGAAACTACTATGTTATGCATTTTAAAGGCCGTTTTTTCTACAGGCAACTTACAGAGCTATCATTTACGGGAAAAGTTTTAGCAACTTAGAAGCTTTCATACTATGCAGTCTTCCCATGTCTACAGTATTGATTTAATTTTCACGGAAAAAACTTACGGAATCCGGAAACTAAATTTTGGTCAACAAAAACTTAATTTTGTTGCTCTGAAATTGAGTCAACTCAGACAAAAAGCAACAAGGACCACATATAGACAAAAAGGGACGTGTATTATTATAAGTACTTATTTTACTTGATTTGGAACCAAAATCATCTTTTTGATTTCCCCGAACTTTGAAACTCAGTACAAAATCTAAAAATGATTTTTATGCGAAATGGTAAATAAACAAAAACGTTGAGTTTGAATGAACAAGTTTCTGCAAACTGCGAAATGGTAAATAATCAAAAACGTTGAGTTTGAATGAACAAGTTTCTGCAAGAACTCGAACTTTTTTTTGTTTTGAATTGGGTAATTGATGACCTTTTGTGTATTTCCGAAATTTCGCATCAGCCTTGTTTGACCGCTTCTACATATTTTGAAACTTCACAATTTTTTAAATCAAACAAATATGCAGCTACATGGTTAAATGCCTGTCACAAGCACTATAATTGAACGTATTGCAAGAGCATTTGTGATTTGATAAAGTGCAATTTTAAAAATTTAACACAAAATTTTTTTGACTGTATTGATTTACAATTATTTTGATATTTCACGTATTTAATGATAAAGCCTTTGGACATAGTCAGATTGGCGGTCGAACCTTTTTTCTAAAGCTTTTAAGGGCATCAGCTGGGTCATAAAGCTTGAGAAAATCTCTATTAAACGTTTGCCTCTGAATTGGCGGCTAAGAACCAGAGAAGAAGTTGTTTTTTACTCCACATCAAATTAGAGCTTTTAAATATGGCATCTAATTTCACAACATATTTCAGATAAAAGAAGAACGGAACAATTGTTGATAAGCATCAAATCATCAAAATGATCTATTATAACAGTTCGACAGCTTGAAACAAAAAAGTGCAAAAAATAATGTTATCGAAGTTTCTTGAAGTAACGAAAGCGATCAATGCTTTGTGCTCAATTTTTTTTTCAAAAAAAATTTAGCCTGCGGATATTTTTTTGCAAGCTTATGAGGCTTAGAATGCTGCAAATTTGGGACGATTTGGGAAAAATTATATCAATTAACGCGTAAGCAGTGGATTATTGTGAACCAGAAAATATTCCCACTAAAAGTTTTTTAGTCTTATTGTTCCGACTTTCGTAACGAAAGTAATGGAATATTTGTGCACGGGGTGATTTTTTTTCTTCTGACAAATTTCGTCTTTTTAACTAGCCATTTTTGACGGGATTTTATTATATCATTCAAAAGGCGCTTAAATTTGTCCTGAGCTTAAATTTGAAAAATTATTTCACTTGTGATCAATTTTCGTTAAGTTATGGGGGTGTAGACACTGTCATTTTGGCTAATTTGGGGCAATTAACACGTAAGAGGAGATTTAATCCGTCGTAGAAATTGTTCCAAATTGGTTAAAGGAAGCTTATTTACCGTAATTGATTTGTAAATAGGAGCAAAATCTATCACTTTTTGTTTGATATGGCGTGTGGTTGATGACTTTCACAAAAATTTTCAATTCTGGTCAAAATTTTTTTTTCAAAAATCTAAAAATTGCAACAAAACTATTTGCCAAACATGCAAACTCTATTTCACTGTGCATGTTTATTGTTCCAACTTTCGTAACGAAAGTAACGGAATGTTTGTGCTCGGGGTGAGTTTCTTCTTCGACTTTTTAACTAGCCATTTTGACGGAATTTTCTTATATCATTCAAAAAATATTAATAACCTGAGCTAAAATTTGAAAAAATATTTCACCTGTGATCATTTTTCGTAAAGTTATGGGGTTAAAGATTGCCATTTTGGCCAAATTGTGACATTTAACGCGCGATATTTTTGGCGCTTTTAACGCGTACGCGGATATTTAATCAATATTATACATGGTTCCAACTTGAATCAAGGAAGCTTATATGCCATAATTGATTTGTCCATAAAGCAAAATCTATCACTTTGTACTTAAAATGACGTGTGGGGGCATTTTTCGCAAAAAGTATAAATTTTTTTCTAATTTTAATTTTATCTTCTTACTTTTAAACTTATCATGTTATTACTACTCCTTAGACCTTGAAAGGAATTTGGAAAATTCAAGTCTTTGCCCTGATACGAGCAGTCTTGTTAAAATTTCAATGCGCATGCACTACACCGTTTCACTTTGTGATAAAAGGCAGGGAATGAAAAATCAAAACTTTCATTTGTTTTTCTATTTTGTTTCTTTTTTTAAAAAGGAATTTGACTCATGGACTTGTTGAAAGGCAGTCACAACATTCTGGATTTTGCCCCTATGCAATTAATTTTGTTTTTCTGGCCATTGAAAATAGGAAGAAATTTCGCATTTGAGTGTTTAAGTTTTTTTTGTTGTCCTGCCAAAATCTGATACCACTAATAATGATTGGAATAGAACCAAAAATAATTTGTAATATAGCCCCTCAAGCCGTGATTCGAACGAACTTAAAAAATTTTTTGATAGAAAAGGTTTGAAAACGGTTTGAGTTTTAGCTTCATTTCGAGCGAGTTATTTAAATAAACGTTATTTATTTAGGATAGAAAAAACTTGATATTTCAGGAAAAAAAATTATTTTTAAGCGCTTCATTGGGCCCTTTTGTAGCGCTTGCGATTCAGAAATCATTGTGCGCAGTATTAGAAAAAAAATCGAAACTTTTGTGAATATTTTTTCCATTTTTCTTATTATTATTTATTTTTTGAAGACAAGTGTTGGTTATAAATTTTGATTCACTAAATTTAATTGCGTTTGAATTGTTTTTTTTTATCACATCAAGCACAAAAAAAACTAACCTAATCGATCTGAAAAAAAAAGAAAAAACCTTTTTCATGTAATTTTCTTAATGATTTTTTAAAATTGTGGTCGGAACATTGTGGGCTAGTTGTGCAGCAACCGGCTATCCTTGCTTGTTTTGGCTACGAAGTGAGACTGAGGTTAACTTTTGGAAATCTAATTGCAGAGGTCCAGTTGCAGGCTTGGATGGGCTTGAGTTCGAAGAAATTAGATGTGATTGGAATTGTGAACTGGGACTGCTTCGAATCCAATCATGCCGCCAACACGCTGTACTTCGGATCAGAATATCCCATGAGCAGGTAAAAGTTAAAGTTGTCTGGAAAGATATAAAATCAGAACTCTTTTTGAAGTGCAAAAAAATCTAATAATTTTTCAATTCAAGAATGGATCAATTAAGTGATTAGTTGAACTGTGATTTTTCCACAGCAACAAAAAAAGGTTCCATAACATTCTACTTTATAGCAATCTACCCTATACCATTGTACCCTATAATTAAACCAATTGAAACTTACCCCATCCTCTTGAAGAATCCGAAACAGAATATTTCCGAAAAAAATCGAAAACCATTAATTTTGACCAAACAGTAAATAACAATTCCTAAATAAAAACTATGTATAATCAAATTAATAAATAACAAATGTATAATAGTTGCTTAACTATCGAATATATGTCAACATCTTATTAAATATGTTCTTGTATAGTCTCTAAATATTTGCGTCTTTTACCGTGCATTTATTTTTTTACCTTTTCTTTCAGATAGAAACAAAGTAGCCAAAAGTCTCATACTTTTTAAAACAATTTGTTTTACTTGCTTCTAAAACGTCATTTTTTGCTCACTTAAATATTTCGCGAAGTGCGCTCTCATCCAAGTTGTAAGCTTTGAGTCAGCAAAGGCTTAGCCAGCGAGCGACCTTCAGCTGGTATTTTTTACACGAGCATGCTGCTTGACACACATGCCATTGAACCAGTCCCTCTCCATTGATCAATTTGCAACTCTAGGCTTCCGTTTCAAACTTATTTTCGCTGCTGCAGATTCAGTCCGGATCAGAAGTTTTCCTACTTTGTGAAGAAGCGTAGACCAGACTGGGACGCCCAGACTGGCAAACTGTCCTTCACCCTTAACCCCCTCTTCACAAACTTCATTGCCATCCAAGGGGGTGTGAAGGGAAAACTGCACCAGGAAACCAATCTGAGGTGGGAATTTATGTTCTTATGATTCTTATGCTTCAAGTTTAAAATTATATTGAGTTTGAATGAATGGCTTTATTCATACTTTCACAACTAATTAATTTTTAAAAAGAAACCACGTTTTTTCAATTTAACAAACCAAAAAATGATTATATTTTGTACAATCTCTGCTCTACATATCAATTTAAAACATTTTGGTTGAAGAAATATTCGCCACAAATGTTTTTAAGTCTAAGTTGTTAAAACGTAGCAAAATTAGTTTCAATTATGATTATCTTTAAATTAAAATATTTCAACTTTTTATTTTCAGATCCTCAATTGAAAATCTACTTTCCAACCCACTCCTGGAGAAATCCCTGCTTGAAAACACCAAAACTATCCCTCAGACCCTGGTCGTGCTGGGAGGTGATGTTGGAACTCTGGACCACATCGCCAACTCGTTGATCAACGGCATTCCAGCTGTGTTGTGCCAGGGATCCGGAGGCATCACTGACGTCATAATTGGGGCACTTCGAATGACTAAAGGAATTTTTTTTTCTTCATTAGCTTTTTCATATTTATTCTTTATGCTTCACTCAAGTAATAAAACGTACAAAAATTGGAACTATTTCTCAGGAATTTTTTTTGCTTGAATATATTGCCATTAGAAAGGTAAGACTCGCAAGAAAAGACTAATGGTAAAAATTACGGGAAGCGATAATTCAGTTTGAAAAGTTTGAAACTTTTTGTATCAATTACAAATATTGGTTTAAGGTCGCTGGTTGTATTTTATTGCAAGTTGTCTTGAAAAGAAAAATTAAAAAGATCCAAATAAATCTGTTATGAAACTGTAGGATCCCAAGGGCTGCTCGAGTATCAGAAGTTCGTGGTGATCAAAAGAATCCGAGACTTGATCAACCAGCCGAAGGATGACGAGCAGTTGTTCTCGGCTGATTACATGGATGCTGTTACTCATGTGCGGAACATCTCAGTTTGTATCCATTTGAGAGACCTGCTCACAATTTACAGACTGGATAAGCCAGTGATTGGATCGAAATTAGACCAGTGCATATTGAAGTCACTGCTAAATGGAAGAGCGGTGGCTAACTGTGATCCAGTTTTCTTGGGTTTGAAGTGGGGAAAATGCGAGCAAGTCATCAAAGATACCCTTCTAGCGGAAGGTTTGTTAGAGATTTAAAAAATCTTTGCAAAAATGATAATGAGCTAAAACAAAACTATTATAAATATAGCAATCTGCAGAAATTTAACGGTTACTCTGCTAATAGCACAGAGGGTTTTCATCACAGTTAATTGTTCGAAGTAATTCAACCCAATAAACCTATCGAGTGATATTCCCTTCGTCATAGCACAAAAAATATTCAAGCTTTTTTGGCATTTTCGTTTTTAAAGTACAGCTTCTCTTCAGTGACAAGAAATGTTTCGCTGAAGCCTTTTTCATACTTCTGAAAAAGGTTGAAGATGTTAGTTTTCATTGATTTATCAAATTTAGCCAATTATTTGAGCAGCTTTCATTTTGAATTGGAAACAAATTTTTTAGTTCGTTTAGTTCATTTAAGTTCTTTTTAGAGTTTTGTTTCGTGTTTGAAAATTTTTCTTCAATTTCTTCGTAATCAAGTTTGAAAATAATTTTTTTTGAAAGTTTACATAAAATTTTTAATTGTTTATAAAAATGCAGCTCTATACTGTATAAATTTTATGTTTCATTAGTTAATACTGATAATTTAAGTGAAAAATTATTCTTATTACATTATTTTGAGGCATTTTTATTTTGTTTGCAGCAGTTCCAAAAAATAGAGTTCCGTTTTAGGGAGTTATTTGAAGGTATAGCTTATAGAGTTTTTTAAATCTTAGAGATTTAAATTTCATTTATGTTGACAAACTTGATGAATTTTGTCGCAATTCGCTTAATACAAATTTTTTTTGTTTATTCAACCTTAATTATGAACCTAGTTATGAACCCAAATTTAACCCAGTTGCTCATTAGAATTTGTGGTCAAGTTCATTTCAAGTTTGTACAAAATTGTGTTTTTGGGTCATCATAATACCTTGTTATTTGTTACGTTTTTTTTTTAGTTTAGGGAGAAAACTTACCACAAAAAACTATTTTGGTCCCGTAATCGTTTTTTGCAGCACTGCAATATGTACTGTTTTAAAGTCATTTGTTTCGAAATTTATATAGAATTTTACAACAAACAAATTGCATCGAATTTTCAAAAGTTCACAAAAATGCAGCTCTTTAACTGCACAAATTTATGTTTTCATCAATTTTTGGACTGATAAATATAGTAAAAACATTATTTTTAGTATATTTTTAAGAGACAATTTTAATTTTCTCTTGAAGTTCCAAAATATAGAGTCTGGTTTTGAGGAGTTGTTTGAAGGTATAAATTATACAGTTTTATAAAGGTTGGGGACTTAAAAATGTCTTATGTTGATAAACTGTTGACGAAGTTTGTCGCAATCCGTTTAATAAAAAAATGATATATTTATTCAGCGCTAGTTATTAACCTAAATTTGGATCAATTGAGCAATCTCCATTTATTCTCGCGTGGGGGGGAGGCAGCTCAATAGGGACTTGAGACATGTTTATAACTTGAGACATGTTTGAGACATGTTTATTTTAAATTAGTTTGATTGATATGAAATCATGGAAAAAATTCTCCAACGATTTTTGACTTGCAATATAAAGCTCAAAAATTACATTCAGAGTTTTTAAAAAAATCAATAAAACTGAGGCAAATAAAGCAAAATTTTCTGACCTAAATGGAAAAAAAGCTATTGCGTACAATCATTTAACTCAATTACACTTCAATTAGGACATTAGCATCAACACAAAGTTTGGCTTAGTTTTTTTTTGTGATCACTGAGTGTTGTATGCACAGTTTCTGTGTTTTTGAACTTCTCAAAAATTTTACTGATTTCTATAATGAGTTCTAAGTTTTTTTCAGATAGCTCAGGTTTACATATTATAAAAGTCGATTAATAAATTTTTTCTCAATTTTGAATCGAAAAATGAATGTGTTTGGATCAAGTTTTCAACGATAGAATTCTATCTATTTATTATCAGCTTTTGTTTCCAGCTGAGACAAAATTTGTATAAAGTAAATTTTCCCGAGCAAAATCGAGCTATAAAAAGTCAAACATTCACTTGATGTATATCTTGCTAAAACCGGTTGATTCATACTAAATCCCCCAGCTTTTCATATATTCGGAAAACTGGTTTTGAACTTGAAGTTAGTTATCATCACTTGGATTTAATCAAGAACGTTTTTCCAAAGCTCAATTATAAGAAGGCTGTAATTGTTTTTTAAAGATTGTAAAATTATTTTGAAATTGTTGCTTGAGAAACAACACTGAACAACTTTTTCAAAGGCGGAACTGGCTGTTTTTGCTCGTTGCACTTCATCGCTTTATTTTTAATGCACTAAGCTGTCGCTTTAAACTCATGAATATTTCGATTTGTCTGAACAATATGATTTAAATTTCAGGCGACATCAATTCGCGACACAACATCAGAGCCTTGTGTCGTGTCGCCTTCCTTGAAAATCAGACAGAGTTCATCGAACTGTTCTTGGGCCTCGATTTAGATCTCTGCAAGTACTTGAACCCCGCTGAGCTCCACGAACTGTACAAGAACTCTATCATAAAGGAAAAACACATGAGAAGGTAGGGGTGAAATTATAAATTATTTAGTACAATCAATAACGTAGATCTTACCTTTTTTAATCATCGATTTTAGAAGCGACATTATAAAGTTATTTGGATTATGCAATGAAATAAAACAAACGACGTTCTTATAATTGAGATTGTTTTCAAAGTTTGTAATTTTTATAATTATTGTTTTTTAAGTGTTTTTAGCCCTATAGTCAAACTCAAAATCGAAATATAAAAAATGAACAATTAATCAGAAAATGAGCACGCTATAAAAATCAAAGATATAGAAGGATCTCTTAAATTGCATCCCCCCTTTTGCAAAGGGCGAGATTCTTTACTAGGTACAAAATTTACTTAACCTGTTTGAGTTATTTTTTATAGGGGGTGGCAATTCGTTACTAGGTACCCCAGGGGGGAACTAATGAAAGAGATCCCATATAGAGAGCTATTTGGGATGATGTATGTCTCTTTTCCATGTCACTTTTCATCTATTGTACCATTTCGTCACAGGTTATTCACGCGTAGAGGGAAGTTTTGTCTGTCCTATGTGTATGACGTCATCTTCACGACATCGACAGCGTATGAGAACTTCAATGTGAACGAACTTGCTATTAGCTGCCAAAGTTCCTGCCATGGTAAGTCATGAAAATTACATGATCATTACGAGGGAAGGGAAGATTTATATGTTATTTGAAAACAAAACTGACCATCTTAAAAGGAAGTAGTTGGTCGTTTGTGCTAAAAGCACAGAATGTTGCGACCACAGTATTGGAGGCAAAAAACTAGAAAACAAAAGAAAAGATCATGTTTGAAACTTCGAGAGTTTTTTTTGTATAAAAACAAGCAAAAACGGCCACTGTTCAAGTGACACAGAACTGCCCGACCACACTAATTTAAGAAAACAAATCATTTTCATTTTCTTAAGAAATTTAAAAAAATTCAAAGCAGAAAGGGTTTCAATCTGACCCCACTCCACTCAACCTTTTTGCAAGTGTTCTTTGAAGTATCTGGTTTCCCGTGATTAAGCCCACGCAAAGTCGTAATGTTTTCTCAATCTGTTTGATTACCAATACATGGTAATTTTCACCAATTCGATAATTAAATCTGGACACAAGAGAATTGACTTGAGAAAGAACAGACAGTAATGCCTGTTTATTGCTTTCTCGATTGTCAAAATAAAAAAAATTACATTAAGTACAATCTGGGGCGGATCTAGGATTTTCTCGAGGGGGGCAAATCTGAACTCACAGGATTTTCTCGAGGGAGGCAAATTGGCTTTCTGAGCTCACGCAAATCACTATAAAGAACCCATTTTGACCAAATTTTTCAACACCGCCGGCTAATTTTTGAAAAAACAGGCCAAAAAAGGCGTTTTTAGGCACGTTTTGGAAAATTTTGACCAAAAAATAGCGTTTTTTTGGCGCGCGCTGCCCCTCAAATTTAGTATATATTGGCGCCTAATGCGTCTTTAGAAAAAAATTAGGCTCAGTCAGCCAAAAATGGATATCTCATAATAGTCCATAGAGGGACCCTTTGGGTCGGCAGGGGGTCGAATCCCTGAGAAAGAAAAGCGTCCACCCCCCCCCCCCCCCCGCCCCCACTATATCCGCTGGTGAGTACAATGAAGGAAAGGATATACTTATAGCATCGCTCCTAGACATTTTTCTTGTTTTATCAAAAAAAATTACCGTGATAGGGCAGATTGTCTATTTAGATATAAAAGTTTTTAGTAATTCTATTCTAAAGATCCTTAAAAAAGCAATAAAATGTTTCCCAAAAAGACGAAATTTAAAAAATTTTAACAAAGAGTTAATTTTTAGTTTTTAGGTTTTCCAGATGGTTTTGTTGATGGGCTTCAGTTTTGTTAATGAGCTTCAATGCCACTCGAATATTCCGCCTTGTCTAATGTTTCATCTTTGTTTGATTATATACATATGCAAACCAAGGTGAACACACCAGTCGAATCATAAACCAGCCAAAAATGCGCAGAGTATAAGCCAACCAATAGTTTTCTCACCGAGTTTAACACAGAGGCGAAGTCGCACTTCGCACACACAAGCAAAAATATGACTGATTAAGCTACTGGGAAAAATTGAATGAGTAAATTATGACGGATTAGCAGTACCAGTTGATTTGAAAAACTAAATTTACTAACTAACATGCCTCAATTCATAGAGCGGACGCATTTTAACTAGCATACAAAAAATTTCATAAAAAATATCCGAACATGCCCAGGTTTGAACCCTTTTAATTTGTTAGCGGTCTCCTTCTCTGCCTCTACGCTACAGATCTATGATACCATGCAATTTATTATGAAGTTTCACACTTAGCCATCATGTATTTTACGTTTCAACATGAAAACCTCGTTTTGAAAAATAAATTTTCTTGAAATGTCTCTCCTAAATTTTTTAGCGCATTTAACCACTGGCGTCTGAAAAAAACAGCAGTTTTTAGGCATTTATTTATTTAGTATTTACACTTTTTGATATAATTTTATGTCTGAACATCTTCAAGAGAAAGTGAAAAACGCTTAGAAAAGGTTATCAGACCTATTGTTTTTTGAGATTTTTTTTCTGAGAATAATGGTCTTTGACTTCCAATTCATTGCAAAAAAATGCAGTAGAAACATTAATATTTAATCAAAATCAATGAAATTGCGACAAAAAACAAAAACCACTACCAGGGGTAGATGCGGATATAGGATTTTCTCGAGGGGAAGGGCGGACTTTCAAAAAAATTTCAAGAAAATTTTATCGACCTTTTTATTGGTCGACCAAGTTGATTTTCTGGGCTCTCACAAATGCAATAAAAACTTTATTTTGACCAAAATTTCTGCGCCGCAGACCAAATCTTGAAAAAAGGCCAAAATTGCGTTTTAGGCGCTTTTCGGAAAATTTGACTTAAAAATCGCGTATTTTCGGCGCGCGCTTCCTCCTCAAGTTTAGTATATATTGGCGCCCAAGGCACTTTCAGAAAAAAAATTTAGGGCCCGCCAGCCAAAAATTGATATTTTAAAATAGTTAAACTTAACCCCGAATGATGTTCAACAAAGTTAACATGTGTTCATTGTTTTGCGCACAGCAAAATTAACATGAGGCACAACAAAGTTAACATGTGTTCATTGTTTTGCGCACAGAAGCGGCAATTGAGCTGTTCTGGTGGTCCATATTCAACTGTCGTCTTCAACTGTCCAAATTCCTGTGGAAAATGTCTCAACATCAACTGTCTATAGCACTCATTGCAGTGTCATTGTGTGAGATTTGCATTCACATCATCCCCGAGAGCGAGACTGCTCACTTACTGCAGTTTAGAGAGTTGCAACACATGTATGAAACATTTGCACTGGAGCTCCTCAATCAAGGTCTGTCACATGTTTAAACTCTTAATCTAGCTCGAAAACCTTTGGATTGTTCGAAATTTTTCAGTTTATTGGATTGTTCGTGGACTAAAAAATAAAATTTTGGGAAAACTTTGAGAAATTAAGTCCAGTACTGGTCCAAGGCTTAAAAATGTTTCCAAATTTGAATATAAATTAGCTTATAGTTTCTTTTTCCAAAAAACCTTTACCTTCAAAACATCAATTTTAAGATCAATTCGGACGGACACCTTCTCACCGTATAGTACAATTTCTGTAATTGCATATCACGCCAAGTTTTTCTTTATACCAATTACTTTCTTTAGTTTGGGAGCTGAATGAGAAATTCACCAAGGAGCTCATCCTCCACAAGACGTCGACTTTAATTGGAACATCAATCTTCGAAATTGCTCTTTTCACTCGAGCTAAAGATTTCATCTCACATGTTGCAGTTCAAATTTGCGTTGACGAAACTTGGAAGTCATCTCTTAAATACTCTTACCCCAAAATAATGTTCGCAACTTTCGCCCCATTTTACGCAATATCTGACGTGAGAAAAGCCCAGCTTGAAATTCGAGCCTTCTGGAACCAGAAAAATAACTCAAACATCAGAAAAAATTCCGGTGTTAACATGCTGGATTTTGAAAATTTTTTGTCAAAAGATCGTGCTATTGCTGAATCGGACCCTGATAATAAAACTAGCAGTAATGCCGTAAGCCCCGATTATGAATTGCCAAACCCTTCGTCAAAAAATGAACAAGACACCAATGAAAATGTGAACAGGACAAATAACAAAAACAAAAAAAAGGTTCATTATTCAAGCCGTTTAGCTTCCGAGCCCTTCATCGAAGCCCACAAACTTCGCTCAAAAATTTCCAACATGTCAATTTTCAAATGCATGTTTTTATTTTACACGACACCAGTTGTTAAATTCATACTTCACTTTTTTACTTATATTTTATTCGTCGGATATTACTCATGGTTTTTGACCCATGACGCGAAAGATTGTCCCCATTCATTTTCAGAACCCATTATTTTTCTCTTTAACGCTTGCTATCTAATCGAATCGGGGGTGCTTTTGCTCCAATTCGGGGGTCCATTTCCTCTGAAATTGAGGTACTGGCTCAGATGTGAGTGGAGCTACATTCAAGCGGCGTCATCATTCTGCGGGTGTATGGCCTATATGTTCAAGCTGCTATGTATGGCCGTAAGTATGGCATAATTTCAATTTTCGAGTTACCCTCAGTTAGGTTTTGTAGGTACTAACGAACTTTGAGAGAAATCGGAATTACAAACACCTAAATTTTTCAATTATGTATGCAAACTCAAAGTAGCGTGATTCAACTATGAGCCTCAGTAAGTCTCTAGACCCTTATTAAAAAATTGGTAGGGTTGAGAAGTCCGTTGATATCAAATGCCCAGAAAAAAAAATTAAAATAATTCCTAAAAACTTGCTGAAAATTTTAAAAAATAACACTCAAAAATAATTTGAAATGAAAACTGCAAATCGTTTCAGTTTCTGAAATTTTTTTGTTTTTCTATGGCTGTTTATTTGCTTTAAAAATGATTCAATTAACATTGCGAACGCTGACTTCAAATGAGTTCAGAAGGAAAAGTGTCAATAAAATTTTAAAAATGAATGACTTTTTTAAACATGTTTCTTTATCACATAACAGCTCTTTTAAATTCATAATTTTTTTTCATAATTTTAACCCAAATTGAAAAAACTGAGTTATTAGGAAAATTATGAACCACTTTCAAAACAGAAAGTCATTTACAATTTTTTGCGTTGATTGCACATTCGTAGTTGAGATCTCAACTACCCTTCAATCGATTAAATGAACTTGAATTGATCTTGAAAAATCCGAAAGCAAACAGCGAAAAAGTTGAGTTTGAGTGTGAGCCTCTGTTAAGACTTGCGCCGAAAAAAATTGACGAACGAAAAAAAATCAACGCGATCTATATAATTGCCTTCACTACGTTCAATGACCCTCAAAACAAAGTTATTATGACAAAAAAATTCAAAAAAATGAGCGATAGAAAGTTGTCAAGTTTTGACTGTTTAAAAGACGTATACATTATAGTTTTTTTTGCGCTTTTGACTCTTTTTTCTTGAGAATAGCCCCCCATTTAAGTAGAATTGTTATTATTTTCAGTTTTTAAAAATTGACATGATCAAGTCTTAATAAATGCATACTATGATTGCAAACTTTCCATGATTTAATTGCTGAAAGAAAAAAAGGCTGAAACATATTAATTAAAAAAATGCTTTAAACAATTAAACTATTTTCCCAGCCCTGGTTTTAGTGGCAGTTTTTTTCCTCTATAACTGCGTTTTCTTTCATTGGCTTTTCCAACAATTGAGCAACTGACGAACGGCAACTTAAGTAGCCTAATAACATAGTTCTCCTCAAATTCACATTATCCGAAATGTTATGAAACTTAGCTCACAGACCAATTTTTCTTGGCATACAATTTTTATCGCCGGGCACCACCATGATCAGTTGTTGTTCTCCGCGAATAAGGCAACAATTATAGGCCCACAAAAAATTAAAATGTGCAAGTAATAGTGCTGTTATAAAAAAAATCCGGTCGAAATGAACAAAAATTGACTTTTTAAATGCATTTTTCTCAATTTGAGTTGACTTTAAAATAATTGATGAAAAGAAAATTTGCTTAGAATGGTTCAATTTATTATAGTGCAGTTTGTTTTGCGAGTTTTCCGGTCAACATTTTACCCCAAAAATGGGTCCTTTTGGCTTCTTTCAGTCAATTCAGAATAACGCTAAATCTAAGAATTAAACTGATGAGCAAAACTCTTCAACGCTAGCCTCTCATACAGTCCAACAAATTTTTAGAAGGATAGAGCCTCCATAACATTGCGCAAAACGTTTCAATTTTAATTTCAAGCTAAAAATTGGAGTTTTAATTAGTAAGAATGTCAACAAAAATATATCTATCAAACAAAAATATATCCATTTATAGAGATTTTTGGAGCTTAACTTTTAGACACAGAGGCGATGTGAAGCTTCGCATCACATGCGATATCACAAAAAAAAACATGTCAAGCTATCAAACAGGAAAGGAAAAGCGACTAAGTCAAAAGTAAAAACTTTCAACTATAAGTTCTATTCTGAGAGTTTTAACATTTCCTGCAATCCGGGAGGAAAGCATTTAAACTATGGTTGCCTTGAACGTCCCACAATAAAGTTGGTATGCCGGTAAAATATGAGTCAAATTATTAGGGAAGAAACCTTTTTTAAGCAAAAAAAAAACAAAAAAGGAAAATATACAAACTTAGGGCATGTAGATTTACAAATTGCCAGAGTAAATGAAAACATAGAAAGCAACTATAATGAAAACTGAACGGCAAATATTTCTGAACGCCAAATACGCCAAAAAATGTGACAACTAAGCCAAAAAACGTAAGGAGACAATTCAAATGCCGACGAATTTTCCCGTTAAAAAAAGTGCTGCTCAGATGTGAATCAAGGACCTTTGCCGTCCCAGGCGTATTCTTTTCTCCAAACTAAATGATCCACAGAAGCTTAGAAACTTAAAATCTTTATCAATCAAGATACCAAGTGATTCAAGCAATTCTGTTAAACAAGTTGTTGACCCGAAAAAGGCTATATTCCGATTTGGTAACGCTTGCTAATCGCAAGCGTAGAAACTTCTGTGGATCTGCTTTGATGTAACTTGCTCATCATTTGACTCATTAGGTTTGCTGTTTTTTTATTGACTAAAAGAAACTAAAATGACCCATTGTGAGGCAAAGTTTTGGCCGCGAAATTTGCAAAATAATAACAATAATTTTGGTGAAATTCTAAGCAAATTTTGTTTTCATCAATTTTTGTTTAAAGTCAACCCATTAAAATGAAAACAAAGTAGTTTCAGCGTAATTTTTGATCAATTAAAAAAGCAAAAATGACCCCTTTTTGGAGTAAAATTATTGTTGAAAATTTAGGAGAAAAAATTGAACCATATCAATTCTGGTGAAATTCTAAGCAACTTTTGTTCTCTTCACTTTTTGTTTCAATTTAACCCAATTTGAGAAAAACGCGTTTAAAATTTTAAGTTTTGTTCGTTTTGTCCCGATAAATTAAATCAGCACTGTACCAGTCCTCAGTGAGAAGCTGAACAGCTCTCGTATGCTAGTCGTTTTTTTTGCGTGGAAAACTAGCCTTAAACTGATATTTTGAACAACTTTGCCTTTAAGTATGGCTTTTGTGGCCTGAAATTTTGCAATGCTTCGGATAACTGTTGACCCTTGAGTCAGCAAAATTAGTTTTGTAAGAGAAGGAAACTCGTCCCTAGTAATAAACCAGTTATCAAGCTACTTTTCATTTTTTCTGATTCGAGCCAAATTAACTTATTTTTAATAAATGACAATTGACGTATAACATATAATTCGTATATTTTCTGCCGAAAAGGATGTTATTTGATTATTTCAAGTTTTTCTGATAAAAAGAAGCCTGTTCCATTTTTGGGTGCCATTTCAGGACCTCTCTTTCCCCCTGCAGTATGGACCTGCCCTGTATGCGATCAGTGGCTTCTCAGCCTGGATGCGTCTCCTCTCCTTCTACAGATGCAGCAGCAGACTGGGTCCCCTCTGGATCCTGCTGAGGAATATGGTCAGGGAAGCACTGGGCTTCATGTTGATCTTCTCAACTGTCAGTATTGCAGCTGGAATATTCATCAATGTGAGCAAACGTGATAACAAATTTTCCAGTTATTTTGTCAAAGAATCTCAATTATTCGAGCTGAATTCTATTGAATAAAGTCGGCGATGTGCGGGGAAGGGGGTTGATCAGTTTTTCTCAAAAAATGAACTTTTGACCTTTTTTGAAAAATAAACTTCGACCTAAGCTCAGGAGTTGAACAAGGATTTTCTCAGGGGGGGGGGGGGGGGGTAGGAGGGGAGATCGATTATCCGGCGCGCGCGTTTTTTTCAAAAAAAATGCATTTTTTCGGCGCGCGCTCCACCTTAAAAAATAGTATGAATTGGCGCTGAAGGCGCCTTTAGAAAAAATTTAGAGTCCGTCAGCCAAAAATGAATATCTCAAAATAGTACAAAGGGGGGACCCTTTGGGTTGGCAGGGGGGCGAAACCTTGAGGAGGGGTCGTCCGCCCCTCGCCCCCCCCCCCAAAGTCCGCCCCTGCGTAAGGTGCTAGCACCCCGCAACAAACGTCGCAAGGAATTTATTGTAAGAAAATGTGACAAAACATCGCTTTTGGGCACTTTTTCACGGTTTTGATCAAACGAAGTTAATTTTTTTGAACATACAAACAGCGTGCGCGCTGTTTTGGCTGCAATGAACCATTTTGAAAAAATGTTAAATTGTTATAGCCATATCGTCATATAGCACAAACCCCCCCCTCCCCCTTAAATTGCCCACCCTTGGATCAAATTACTTTTCCAATATTTGAGGCAGTTCAGCTTAGTTTTTTCACTTATTTCATCCATTCCTTCTTGTTTAGAACTTCATGGACGTGTATGGCTACGAGGACCAATACTCTTCTGGAATCCAGTGGCTATGGCTCCGCCCTTTTTTCATGTTCACTGGGGAGAACTTCCTCAAAACAGTATCCTACAACACCATGGGCCAAGGGGGAGGGGAAAACTTCCTCCTATTCTACTCAGTTGTTTACATTGTTTACTTTTTACTGGGGAATGCGTTAATGTTGAATTTACTGGTGGCGATTTTCTCGGAAATTTTCAACAAGGTGTTCGCACAGTGAGTATATATATTTTTTTCTTATCTTCTGAGTTGAAGGAGATCAAGTGATCGAAATAAGACAGATAAAATGCAGCATTCACTCCAGGAAGCTTCCCTTTAGTGTGTTTCGCAGCATTCAAGCAAACGCAAACTCTTACAAGAATCGTGCTGGAAAACAGCAGCTTCTTTTCTTATAAGATTCTTATAAGATTATAACTCTTATAAGATTTTTCGCAACCCAAGAACACCACGGAGGGACCCTCCTGGAATGCACTAAAAGCGTGGTCGGTTGAGGATTTTATTGACGGTGCTGAAATTTTGAATTTTTTTGATCCAGATTATTTGTTTTCTTTTGATTTTCGCTTATTAAATTTCACCTTTTTGAGTATCATTTATCCACGAGGGAAAGGATCACCATACGAGCTGTACAGCTCATCACGGCGAACCGCTGTTGTGCCCCTGCTTAAGAACTACATGCAATTTTTTAAGTTATATTTCTGGGGTGGGTAATGTTGCCTCACCCTCAATCAACGAGCACGGATCATGGTGGGCCTCGAACATCCGACCTTCCGATTGAGAGGCGGAGATGTTACAACTTCACCACCTCTCCCGTTCACCGCCGCTCCCCACTTCAATACCGCTTCACCTTTTTGAGCAATGATTAGACAACTCGTAATAAAAAGTGTTGTAAGAGCCAAATTGTTGTTTGATGAACAAGCAATAAAAAACAAGATCCCAAAAATGGCACAAGTTTTTAGTGAATATTACTCTTAGATGACAGAGATTCAAATTTGATTTGAAAAGTGTCTATTTGATCTGAATTTTTTTCCAGTTCCGACCGAGAGTTCAAAACGGAGTTTCTGATGCTGACCAAAGAATATAACTCCAAAACTACTATTCCAGTTCCATTTCTCTTTTTCGAACTCATCTACAAGCTAATCAAGTTCATCGTGTCCAAATACATCATCCGACCCACAAACAAAAATTGGAAAAGCGATCCAAGTCGGCTGGATGAACGCAAAATTATCGGATACTTCGAAAGTCAATGTGCCAACAGAGTTATGAGCCATTTAGAGTCCAGATTAGACATGCAAGAAACAGTCAGCTATGCGCTGAAGAGTATCGATGAGCAACAGGGGCGATTAGCCGATATGAAACATCTAGTTCAAGCTGTTGAACGCCAAGTTGACGACAGGTTTTCACAAGAACGGAAGAAAAAATACTGCAAATAGTTTTATATTATATTACAAAATATTTGATAATTCATCGAGGAAATTAATTTAATTTGCAATATGACTTTCGAATAGTGAAATTATTACAGGATTGTCAATACAGTGGCAGCTTGGAGGGTGGGGGTTAGGTTATGCCAAGGGGTGAAGGAAAGGGGCATTTTATTCGAGTCTTTCAAGCCTGTCCAAGCATAGTCCGTTTCTCTTATTTCCCCACACTCTGGAATGAGTAATGTTGTTGAGCGAAACTTTTTTGCGGCTCAAGGACGTTTTTTTGCTGCTAAAACATTCACGTGGTAAATTTATTAGCAAAAAGTTTGGACATACAAAATTAATTAAAAAGAGCAATTGACCTATTATGGAAAAATTTTGCATGCAAAAACTCATTCTTCAGTCCGATTTTGTGTCTCAAAGTTGTCTGAAAACAGATATTGCACGCAAAAACCTAACAATGTGGCACGATTGCTCTTTTTTTGCTCTTTTGTCTCTCCAAACTTTGTGCAATTCTCTATACCACTATTCCAGCGGAGTTGGTCAGGCTGCGGTAAACCTGAAGCTAGAGGTCAAGTGAAACCAGTAAATACCAGTGAACGTAAACATTGAGGAGTGCGCGAAGACACTGGTCAAAACCTTTCAAGTAAGAAGAAACACCAGTGAGTATTAACTTTCAGGAGTTCGCCTAGATTTTTTGGTCAAGTAAGAAGAATTCATCTTCTTTTTTTAAAAAAACGAGATTCAGTAGCCTTTAAACATGTTTTGATGTCTCATTCCAAAACATGGGGGTCTTCTTTTTAATTCCAACCAAGCTTCTTATTTTATGACTTTGTAAAATTCAATGTATAAAATCGAATAACAAAAGACAAACACTTGAGGGAACACAAAAAGCAGGTCTATGATTTGCAATAAAAAAAGTAGAAACAAGCCTCGAGTAAGTAAAAATTTGGCTTAGGTCTAGGATTCGATCTGCGAACTAGATATTATGAGTCTCATGCACTAATCACTCAACCACAGACGCTTTATTCGTTAAAGACAGTAGCCACAAAAAGCAGAAGAGATGCTATGAAATTTCCAATGCTCCAGATCGTGATTATAGCATAACTGCCAATAAATAAGTGAACACTTTTAATGAACACTTATTTGCAAATTAGGTTTAAAAAAAGTTCATACTGATAAACTAACGCTCGCAAGAAGCAAGTATAATCAATTGCACTGATTGGTTTCATTAAATTAAATGACAAAGTTTAAGCAGATGTGAAGGTAGTCATTTTTTTCTTGGAGCTAATTTCTGAGTTAGTTTTCTCAGCTGCTTATTTGAAGCAAACTTAGTAAGGTACCATATTTTGGCTTAATCAGCTTGCTTATGTTATTTTAAAACTGCGAACAGAGCAATTCGAGATGGTGCTGTAATTTCATTTGCTAATTCTAGCCAATCACCTTGAAGCAAAATACTTTCCCTTTAAAGATATTGAAATATTGAGCGGCACAAGTAAAAACCAACGTTGCAAAACTAGAAAATTAGCAATAAAAATGACAAATCACGTTGAGCTCAAGTATCATTTAAATTCTAAAATATTTTAGCCACTTTATTATTAAGGCTAAGAAAAAAATAGCTAAGCAAAGATTAAAAAATAGAGGTGAAGGCCAGCTCTGCAACACATTCCTTAGTAAAAAAAATAGGCAAAGATTCATTTGAAAAAACACTTCAAACCACATTTCAAACGGAACCGCCGTTTATGCAATCCTTCTATGGTTGGAAAACGCTCAATTGCTAAAAAGTACGCAGACGCAGAAATTTTAGCAATAAAAAGATATCCTAGAGAGCTTTCGCGAAAAACCTCAACTAACATGATTCAAAATTAATTTTGGCAACCGGATTATTCTAACCAAAAGTAAATAAAATTCCACCTTTTCGGTTCCAATCTAAAACGTGCCAATCAAAAACATAGCAATTAAAACTGATTGTTCTTTACAAAATTTAGACGCTTTCGCAAGGCTGATTTAGAATAGATTGAAGAAAAATACGCTGTAAATCAAAGAATTATTCGTATAAAAGAAAATTCATTTTTATTATAACACCCAATTTATGTGTCTCAATTTAAAAGAAAACTAAAATTTTTTCACAATTACAAAAAAACGCGATCGATATAAAAGTCGAAACTACGTTCATTGACTCTTAAAATCAAACTGCAAAAACACAAGCTTGAGCCAAATGAGCTTTTCAGAGTTTCCCCAAAAGACCGCGAGACTAAACTTATGTATCGTCACTGTGCTCCTTGACACTAAAAAAATATTTAATTTTCTTCTCATTTACTTTAAATAATTCTTTTCTCTTTCAAATATGGAATTGAAGCTAGACACAGATAAGAAGCTGCGCTTCGCAAACACTTGCGAACAGGACCAAAAAGCAAGTCTAGAAAAAGCAACAAGAAAAAAAAAGAAATAAGCCCCGAGTTAGCAAAAAGTCGGCTTGGTCTATTATTCGGTCTACGACATACTGCGATCAAGAGATTTTGTGTCTCACGCACTATCCACGCAGCCAAGCAAGCTTCTGTATCCACTCAAGCTTAACAACCGACAAAAACAAGTCACGAATAAACTGCCAATGCGATTCAACAAAAAAGGCACCAAATACACAAAAAGAACTCAATTTTGCAGTGTGAAGGCATTCACGCTAACTTTGCATATAACAAATAGCAAAGCATAAAGCCACATACTGTATAAATTATGCAATTCAAAAAATTGCGAGAAAAATCAAGTTAAAAAATTTCTGGAATAGTTTTCTTTACTGTTATGCTGTTTGAAACAAATCATCTCTTTCGGCTCAGTTGATGAATAAAAAAAGAATCAACTGTGTTAACTTATTACTATTCGATTGTCAAAGCCCATGCAATGAAAAAACTGTAAAGATGGCACCAATATTTGCGACTTAGATTAGAAAAAAAGAAGATTCGTACTAATACTCGCTTCGCAAAAACCACAGAATCTTGCAATCAGCATTGGAGGCAAAAACTAGAAAACAAAAGAAAACAGCATGTTTCAAACTTCGAGATTTTTTTTTGTATAAAAACAAGCAAAAACGGCTGCTCTTCAAGTAACACAGAACTACCCGACCACCCTAATTTAAGAAAACAAAACATTTCCTTAAGAAACTAAAAATAACAATCATACAGAAAGGGCTTCAATCTCATACTCATGACTCCACTCAACCTTTAAACCAGTCGAATCATGAAGCAGCCACAAATGCGCAGAGTATAAGCCAACCGATAATTTTCTCACTGAGTTTAACATAGAGGTGAAGTCGCACTTCGCATACACAAGCAAAAATATGATCGATTACGCTACTGGGAAAAAACTGAATGAGATAATCTTTGAGTCTACAAATTTTCTTAAGTGACGCCCGCCAATTATGAGTCTACATAATTGCTAAGTGACGCAAGCCAATTATGACGGATTAGCAGTACCAGTTAATTTGAAAAAAAAAACCAATTAAAATACCTATTTATAGAGCGGACGCATTTCAACTAGTATACAAAGAAAATCTTTAAAACTATCCGACCCTGCTCAGGTTCGAACCCTCTTATTTTGCTGCGGTTCGCCTTCCTTACCTCTACGCTACAGATCTATGATACCTTAAAGCTAAATTGCTATTTGTAATATAATAGTCTGTGTTAATATCCTTAGCATTGGCAGTACTTAATAGCCGGTTATTGATCAAAATGAACACTTTCAAAGTGAACCATTTTATCGCAACAAAATTTGTGACTTAGATAGGAAAAAAGATAGTTCAAACTAAAACACAAGCTGTGTACGGAACCGAATAAAAAAATTTTTGGTTACCTTAAATACTTTTTTCAGGTAAATTTAAGGCAGTGTTGAGATAAAATTTACCAACATTTTAAAAACTTACTAGCGTGTAACGCACCTCCGGCGCTTCGAATTTTTAACAACTCATTAACGCCAAATATATTGGAAAAAAGATCTGCATCTTTTGAGTGTACTCTGACACCACCAAATTACAGGGTTCGTAATTACAAACTTTGCAAAATTTAAAAAATTCAAAACTGAAATAACAAACGACACATCTTAGAAAGTAAAAGCAACCAAGCAGTCGCATTTGTACGCAAGATTTGCATCTCCTGAGAGTACTCTTACAGTACCCAACTACAAAGTTGGGAAAATCAAATTTTGAGAAACTTCAAACTATTTTTTGAAAACCAGAAAAAACCACACCTCAAAAACTACCCAGATGTCAGCAGTCTTATTTGGAGGCAATATACGCCATTATTAACAATACTCTGACAGCACTCAACTACAGGGTTGAGAATTTCAAATTTTGTGAATTATTTTGTAATTTGAGTTTAAAGATAATTTCTGAAAAAATCAAAAAATCGTCGTATCTCGAAAACTAAAAAAAATTCTGAACTCTTAACTGGAAGCCAAAATCGCCATCCCTGAGACTACTCTGACAGCCCCAACTACAGGTTAAGAATTTCAGATTTTGAACAAAGAGGTTTAATTTAAGTTTTCGGAAATTTTTTGAAAAAATGACAAAAAACGTGTCATATCTGGAAAACTAAAAGGTTTTGAGCTGTCACATTTGGAGGCAAAATTCGCAACTCCTGAGAAACTGAGACAACTCTGACAGACCCTAATACAGACTTGAGAACATCAAACTTTAAAGAAAAAATTAAATTTAAGTATTCTGAAATTTTTTTGAAAAAATCACAAAAAACGTCATATCTAGAAAACTTAGAGATTTTGAGCAGTCATATTTGGAGGCAAAGATCCTGAGAGTACCCTGAGAAAACCTCACTATAGAGATGGGAACTTCAATTTTTGTGTAACTTTTTATATCTAAGTTCTGGGGAAAATTTTTCTATATCTAAGTTCTCGGAAAAAGTCCTAAAAACGTCATATCTCGAAAACTTCAAAGATTTGAGCAGTCATATTCAGAGGCAATATTAGCAACCCTTGAGAGTACCCTCACAGTTTCCAACAACAAGATTGAGATTTTCACAAAGCTTTGGAACTTTTTAAAATCTAAGTTTTTGAAAATTTTTGAAAAAAAAATCATAAAAAACGTCATATCTCCAAAACTACAAAGATTTGAGAAGTTAGATTTAGAGGCAAGATTCGCAACCCCTGAGAATACCTTGACAGCACCCAACTACAGCTTGAGAGTTTCAAAAACTGAGGAAAAAAATTTCAAAATTAAAATTTCTAGAAATTTTTGTAAAATCTCGAAAACTGCCGTATCTCGTAAACTAAAAGGATTTAGTTATTTATAATTGGAGGCCAGAATCGAATAACCTTGGAAAACCCTGACAACATTACACTATTGGTTTGCTAATTTCTGACGAAAACTTGATGGAATAAACACAGAACTTAAACTGGAAAACCGAAAAAAAACCTTAACCATTGCTATATACGATATACCTTAAACGTGCAAAAATTCTTTTGTTAAACATGCGAAAATAATACATTGAAAAAGCTTAAACATGGCGAGATAGTGAAGGTCGCATTTAAATACATAATAGATTTGAGCTAAGGTGATTTTACTTCTATGTTTTCGCGTGAGAAAGTAGCTCTGGGCTATAGTTCTACGTAGCCTTGGTGCTCAGAGCAAAAAATAAAATCAAAGATTTTTTAAACGGCAAATTCAGTATCAACAATTCATCAAATTTAAACCACAACCTAAACAACAAAAATAATTTCTCAATTTACAGATCAATTTTCATATAGAATTTATAATTTCTTTAATATATAACATCATATTTTTAAATTAGCCCACTCCAAATTTACAAACAGCACAGTTTTGTAGTTTTTAATTCGTCAATTTTATCCATAGCGAAAAACGAAAGCAAAAGATTCTATAACAGCTGAAATATGCGAGCAAATATCTGCATTTGCATTCAAACAAACTTCAAATATTTACAAATAAACTAAGAAGTGCTCAAAACTGCACATTAGACAATATCCGAATAGTAGTGTTCGTTAAATCTGACGACAGAAACTTAGACGACTGGAGACTACACTACCACATAACATTAAGATGTCAAGCTATTAAGCCAGAATAAAGTTGCAGCTTTTTGATTGGCTATTTTTCTCATTAACACTCCTGAAACTAGCGTTAAAAGTAATCGCGCTGTTTCTCTTCGTTCTTATTTGCTTGTCTTCACAAAAAAAGTTTGAATATAATTGTCGTCTTAACCGCTGTCGTCTTATTTGCTGCGCACTCGAATATACTATAGCACGTAAATTGCCTGATTTTTTTTGTAGTTTATGACCTAAACTTTAGGTATTGCGTTTTTTTTAAGTAGCGCCAGGCTGAATACCTAGTTGGTACAAAAAACAACATTAACAACATAGAGATCCGATTATCACACAGTGTAATGTCCACTATTTTATTACAACCCAGAAACTTCAACTCTGTTGTTTCTTTCTATTATTGTTTGTTAGTCCTTTCTAGTCGGAGTCGCTCATCAATTTCGCTCCCATGCGTTGACCATTCACCATTCCTGCGCCAGATTTACCCCTGAAAAAATTTGAAAAACACGATGAAAAACTTCAAAACGCCAAAAAAACACGTTTAGAAACACAATTTATAACGTGCTTTTTTCCCAACTATGAATTTGTTCATTGCATTGCAGGAAGAAATCGTAAAAAAATGAAAATATACATATTTAAGCTCGGAGTTAAAATCAGACGAAGTTCGTGGTTTACACAAAGAACACATGCTTACTTTGGACTATAAACAACTCTTTAAGCTACTACGACAAGTGAAAGTCTTGAAATACTATTGGGCGAAGAATTCTCTGGGTCCAATTAAAACAACTGTGACCAGAAAAAATACATATCAACAAAAATGCAAATGTTTTCGACAATTAATCAAAACTCATCGGTAAAGTTATCACTAAACATGAACAGAAATTTTAATTTAGAGTTTCTAATGTAGCTCTTTAAGCTGGATTACAATTAGTCATGAATCTACTAAATATGAATAATTTAAGGAAGGCTGTTGAAACTGAAATTAGTAGACATGCACATTCAACTTACAAGAGAGGTTCTGTTTTCAAGTTCGAATTAGGAGACTCAATCATCAGTCTCAAGCCCTTCATCCTAGCAGCAGACCAGATTAAATTTAATTCAATCAGATGATGAATCAGACAATGGGAAGTTTTACTGTTGTCCTAGACATTAATGTATAACACAAGCGAGATCCCTTCAACTTTTTCCTACTCCCTATTACCAGATTCGCTACTACGTATAAAATTCATATCTACTTAACCAGTAAATTCGTTCTGCTAAGGGGATAGATTCAATAATAGGAACCACAGGGGGAGGGGGGCGTTCGTTACTAAAAACCCCAGGGCGGCAACAGTTAGAGAGATCCCACAAGCGTTGCTTGCATTACATAGTTCACGTCTTCCAATTGTGAAAAATTTTCGCGCGCACACCAATTCTTAAGATAATTTATACAAGCTTTTGTCTTACTGCCCCCTCACCATCAATGTCTACGTAAAAAAATTTTCGAAATCTTTGCTCAATCATTACGAAATATTTCACAAACGCCAACAAATAAACTCTTTGATTCCTTACCTAAACTTATAAAACCAACTTATTCAACTAAGAAATAATTCATGTTCATTTTTTGTAACTAGTTCTTGTAAAAAAAAATATAGCATTTCCTGCAGCACACAAATCAAATTAGATATCTTATCGTAAAAGAAGTACCAATTGTAGCATGTTTGAATTAATATATCACTGATGTGATTACAAAATAGACAGTGAAAAACTATCCACAGACAAATCCCAAGCCCAGAATAGATTGAAAATGATAACATGGAAACATCTACTAGCGTGTCAAACAGACCTCTGTTAGTTAGACCTATGCAAATTATTAATACTACACTTAGATTGCAAGGTGTTCTCAGAAATTCTCTTTTTACGTCAGCAAAAAATCTTGCGGTTGTCTGTGATGTAATCTTATCTAATGTGCCTGCTGACTCACCCGTACATTACGTCATCATCTGACTCGTCATTTAGCATGGAGAAGGCGGGATTGTCCCGAAAGTGACCATCTGAATCAGAACACACACGATTTGAGCGCGAAACTAACCATTTTGCTCAGACGATGAGATCCAAGAAACTTTTGATTTTTTGATGTACGAAAATTTTGATGTGGAGGGAGTACTCTAAATCTTTAGAACACCTAATTTGGTTTTTGAGCTCTCCTGAAACCCTTAACGAGCTTTATATAAATTGTTTGAGAAAAACGCCATTCCTGAAACCCTTAACGAGCTTGATATAAATTGTTTGAGAAAAACGCCATTCCTGAAACCCTTAACGAGCTTTATATAATTTGTTTGAGCAAAACGCCATTTTTGACCTCCTTTTCAAAAACTGAAACCCTCCACAACCAAAAACCTTAACCTCTTAACTGTCTTATTACCTGTGTATGCGTTTTTGGCGGGTGAGTACACGAATGCTAGAGTGTAGACGTAGAAGTTTAGTATGGAGTAGAGGGAGAGGAACTCGGCGGCATTGCTGTATCGGGACATGATTCCCCCTCCGAACGCCTCCCCGTCCGTCATCCGGAGACCATATCTGATGAACAATAGGCTGCAGCTGAAAAGATACGCACATCAACAAAATCACATTAGAACTTATGTCGATTTTGAAAGGCAAAAAAGCTACTAAGTGAAGCTAAAATATAATACAAAGTGAAGCCAAAATATAATAATTAAAATAATTATAACTGTTTTTAGCCAATTTCATAGAATACAAACTATTTCACTGAAATAATGTTTATGGCAAAAAATAACATTTTTAATGGCTAAAAACATGCCAATGTACATGAAAAGAACTGCCCATGATTTTTCAATTTGGAGTAAAATGTGGTATATCAACTGTCAACTTATCTTACCATGCAATGATGATGATAAAAGTCAAGATGGTGAGAAACTTCAGTCTAACGTCTGAAACAGAAACAGCTCATCAAAAAACGCCACATTCGAGGAACCTAAACCTGGCTAATTAAAAAAAACGAGAGTCCTCCTAGTCTTTATATTTGTAAGCCAGTAAAAATTAACTCTGACAGCACGATAACCCTGGATCAGAAACAAATTATTCTTAATAATTTTGTTATCAATATAGAGAGAATGTAACACAGGCGCGGATCTAAGAATTTCTCGAGTGGGGCTGATTTTCAGGGGGACACTGTAACAGCTACCATGCACGAGAATTTCTATGCAGTAGATTCCCAGGCACCTTCAATCTAGCTTCAAAAATCAACCCGTTCTTCGATGTCTCAAATACTAACCAAAGTAGGGAAGAGAAGTCAACTCCGTCCATGCTCTGATGATGAGGAAGAGTAAATATAATACATACACGCCCAGGGCCACGAAGAACACAATGCGAAGGGGCTAAAAAGGCAACAGCAATTACAATTAAAAGACATGCCAGCCAACCAAAAAAAATCAATTGCCTTCGTTTAATTTTCATATATATATATTTTAACGTAGATATGAAAAGCACCAAAGTTAGATATACAATCAAGGATTTTCTCGAGGAGGAATTTTCGTGAAAAAATTTCGAAAATTTTGTCGACCTTTTTTTAATAGGTCGAAAAAATTGATTTTCTGATCTCTTCCAAATCACTATTAAGATCCCGTTTTGACCAAATTTTTGGCGCCGCAGGCGAATTTTTGAAAAAAAACAGGCCAAAGAAGGCCTTTTTTGGAACATTTTGACCAAAAAATCGCGTTTTTTCGGCGCGCGCTCCCCCGTCAAAATCAGTATATTTTGGAGCCAAAGGCGCCTTTGCAAAAATTTTAGGGCCAGTTAGCCAAAAATTCATATCTCAAACTACAAAGGGAGACACTTTGGGTCGGCAGGGGTCGAATCCCTGCGGGGGCGTCCCCCCTAAATCCGCTGGTGTATACAATGGAAGAAGACGCTTAAGTTGTATGCACTTATAACAAGACACGCTAATGCAAACGATTCATTTCGCGACCACGCAGCAACTATACTAGTTATCTTTTGCTTTAGATGTGCCAAATCCCTAAATAATCTTATCGGTTTCAACAACAAAAAAAACAAAGCGGCTAACAGACAGTTGGAAGAGAGTGAATGAAAGCAAATAAATAGAAAAAAATACTGACTTTTTAAAAAAAAATCTCATATTTCGAAAATCGGAGAACAAAAATGACCTTGAAGCTCCTCTTTGAATTTCTAGACTAATTTATGATTGACATTTTTTTGATAAAATAAACCCAATTTGAGAAAACTGGATCAATAGGTAAACTTTTATTTCGCTGAAATCTGAAAATTAAATTCCATTTTCGAAACTAGCAGTTGGTCAGGAATTTTCGCTGTTCGATAGTGGAGTTTGCCTTCTTTTTAACAAAGGAAATCAACTGAACTTGAAAAGACCTAAAAAGTCAAACCGCCAAAAACTAATCAGCCTGCACAAATTTTCCCTGAAAAAATCATCACTACCTCCATAAGAGTCTGAACTACGTTCATCGACTTTTAAAAACGGAACAATCTTAGCTAACAATTTATATATATGCATTTGTAGGTGTGATGCTAACCGTGTAGTTTTTGAAGTCGTAGTCAGTGGAGTAAGTTGGGTCAGTGGTCTTGTGATAGCTCTCCCAGGAGGCAAAGAATAGAGCCAGCATCCAAATAGACCCCACCAAGGTGATCTTCGGAATGTAGAACAGACAAACACCCCTCTCCTAAACATGGTATATGCCACCATTCTTTGTTTTCTTGAAAACATTTTTTTGAATTAAAAATGTTCTAAGTCCAAAAAACGTGTCGAACTTTTAAGAGACCAGTCCATAAGTAACGGCAATTAATGACAAAACATCCAAAAACATTAATCACATCTCAACAATTAATCATATCTCAACAATTAATCGTAAGTCCTATTATCTATAGACAGATTTAAAAAAAATTCCGATTTCGTAATCTTATTTTCCACCATTGTTGATTGTTTTTCAACCTATCGTATATAGCAGCCACATCTCATTGCGTAAAGGTCTTAAAATTCAACAAAAAACACCAAAAACAATTGTTTCATGCCTGTGTTCTGAGTCCATGGTAGGTGCACACCCAGAACATGAGCAGGGCGCCACAGAAGGAAGTCTGGAAGAGGGCGTCGAACAGATTGGGCACCCAGCTGCTTACCAGGAATGTCAGGGCAAATAGAGGGTCTGAAAAAATCACACAGTTGTTCGATATCTGATATTGCATGAGATAGGGAACGATTTATATTGGCAAAAAGGAAATAATACTCACTGTTGTAGAGTAATAAAAGGGGCAGCAGAATTACAATCCACCTGAAAAACAAACAAATTATCAAAAATTATTAAAGTTTTCTTTTTGCAAAACGAATACTATCAATAATAAAATAAGGAAACATAGGCGCTACGCGCAATACACCGAAGGCATAGAAACTGAAGCAAAAACCAAACAACTTGAACAACTAATAATTGAAGAATAACAGTTCTAGAACAAAAAATCGTACTAACACATGTATACACCAAAATTTTACTATATTGACAAAGGGCCTGAAATAACAGTTCGTGAGCTAAAAATCGTACGAACACATGTATACACCAAAATTTTGCTATATTGGCAAAGATCATGAAATAACAGTTCGAGAGCTAAAAATCGTACTAACACATGTATACGTCAAATTTTTGCTATATTGACAAAGATCATGGAATAACAGTTCTAGAGCTAACAATCGTACTAACACATGTATACACCAAAATTTTGCTATATTGACAAAGATCATGGAATAACAGTTCGAGAACTAAAAATGGTACTAACACATGTATACAATAAAATAAATAAACATAAATAAATAAATGAATAAATAAATACATACATGAATAATAAATAAAAGCAAAACTAAATGAAAGAAAATAATTAAATAAATATAGCAATAAATATCAACGAATAAACAAAACACACCTGATAAATAAATAAACAATAAAAAAATAAATCAATACATAAATAAATAAATACATACATAAATAAATAAATAAATAAATAAATAAACGCAAAACTGAAATGTACAAATAATTAAATTAACATGAAAAAATATATATCTCATGAACAAATAACCAAACAAACAGACCCATAATATAAATAAATGAAAGTAAATGAATTAAATAAATACACATACATAAATAATAAAAGCAAAACTAAATGAAAGAAAGAATAATTAAATAAATATAGAAATAAATATCAACAAATAAACAAAACACACCTGATAAATAAATAAGCAATAAAAAAATAAATCAATACATAAATAAATAAATAAATACATAAATGAATACATAAATAAATAAATATATAAATAAATAAAAGCAAAAGTGAAATGTACAAATAATTAAATAGACATGAAAAAATATATATGAACAAATAACCAAACAAACAGACCCATAATATGAATAAATGAAAATAAATAAATGAAATAAATACACATACATAAATAATAAAAACAAAACTAAATGAAAGAAAGAATAATTAAATAAATATAGAAATAAATATCAACAAATAAACAAAACACACCTGATAAATAAATAAGCAATAAAAAAATAAATCAATACATAAATAAATAAATAAATACATAAATAAATACATAAATAAATAAATAAATAAATAAATAAAAGCAAAAGTGAAATGTACAAATAATTAAATAGACATGAAAAAATATATATGAACAAATAACCAAACAAACAGACCCATAATATAAATAAATGAAAATAAATAAATTAAATAAATACACACGCAGAAATAATAAAAGCAAAACTAAATGAAAGAAAGAATAATTAAATAAATAAACAAAACACGTGATAAAAATAAACAAAAATAAATATGTACATACATAAATTATAAATAAATATAAGCAAACTAAACATAATTAAATAAATAGAAGAACAGATAATTAAATAAATAAAGATGAACAAATAAAGAAACAAACATACGCAATCACGTGACATAGCGCGATATAGTCCAGCCCACATGATAATTGATAACTGTGGACGTTATTTGTCGACACTTGACAACAGACAACATTAAAAAAAAAACCCCGTTACACGATACCATAACACCTTGACTTAAGTCTTCGGTGTAATTATGGTGATCATTTACAATAGTCTGTTGTACATTAATGAAACAATACTTTTAAGCATTCATGCTAAAACTGGAATATTTTATGCTGGAATTGTCAATTCTTAAAACTTGAATATTTTCATGAAAACAAAATCCTCTAGGACAAACATCTTTTTACCATGCCTCTTAAAATACCTCTTATGCCCACAAATAACTATGAATAGGGCAACTCACTTCTGTTCTATAGTCCAATCCTTGATTGAAAATTTCCTCATGGAGTGGGCAAAGAGACAGATGGCTGCAAATGTTATCACTAGGAACCCGAATCTGAACCAGATCTCCAGCTGGGTGAAGTTCGGGTTGAATGTCTGCCACGTAAAGATGACCTGGACGAAGACATTGAATTTAAAAAATAACTAAAACTTTTTGACATTTTAAACGTACTCATTCATTTTTGCTTACGATTGTTAATCTAGATCTCTAAGATAAAAATTTTTGTACAACTTTTAAACAGAAGATTCTCCTAGGCCATTATTTTTTTCTTTTCGAGGCAAAGGAGAGCTGTCACATTTTTCAAAAAAAAATTCAAAGTTCTTCAATATAGCTATAATAGACATTCACATCTATAATCAACGGAATCAATGGTTGAGCATATGCAAATTTTGAACTTGATAGCTCATTCCATCTACCTTTACAATAGGGCAGGGGCGGGGGGGGGGGGGTATTAAAGAGATCTAAAGAACGAATCAGCAGCATCACTTGTTCCATAGTGGAAGTGGTGTTTGTAGTGTTTCTACCTCTCTGATGGGGTGTGGGAGGGAGTTGAGGGAGTGGAACTGGACTATGACTGTGTAGAGCAGGTACTGCAAGTGGCCCAAATGCATCACCAGGAACTCACTGCATGTCTAAAACACATGATCACAAATCAAATTTCAAATAATATACTGAACACATCAATTGTATTTTAGCGCTCGTTTATCACACCATATACGGCAAAAAATTCAACACTAAAATGAGCGACTTTGGTTCCAAAAATATCCTTGCGTAATAAAATAAAAAAAAACGAAAAGAAAAACACCTTTCTGATAATGACAAAAGGCAGACCTTCTCGCATTACACTTAAAATTTGGCAAGTAAGGAACATGCGGAATAGAAAACTGAGACAACTATTAATTATTGGTGACGTACATCCCGGTGACACTGGAGTAGACGCGTGCGTTCGTTGGAGTCCTTGTTGACCTCGTAGCCATAGTTGTTGTCCTCCTTGCCCAGAATCTTCACATTCATCCCAAACGGCTCACTGTACTTGCCCGCAGCTGAAAACAAACAATCCCGAATCCCGTTTAAAATAACACTTAGTTATACAGTCTGTAAATGGGTAATCAAAATTGACTTCAAAGTGAAGACGGGGTCGGGTATTTAACTACACCCGCTGAGCCGTACAAATGACTAATCCAACGCTTAAGCATATACTTTTATTGTGACTATTTTTTTCAATTTGTAAAAAAAAATGGGAATTACACTAATCTACGAGCACACTAGCTGCTTCATTGATTCCTAAGGGAAAAAAATAAGAGACCATGCATTTATATGGTATCAAGCTTCCGCTTTGTTTCAGCTTATAATTTAGCTACGACCCTATCAAAAAAAAAGCTAATTTCATCGGAAAAACAAGATCTGACGGTTCGTATAACACCGGGCTTCGCTAGCGCGAAAATATTCTTGTTCAAACTTATCTGATATTAATTTATACCAGAGAAAAAATACTTCTTGGATACCCAATTAACTTAAATATAACTTAAATACTCACATGCAGAATTATTAGTGAGTATTTGACACCAGAGGTACAACTGCTGATTGAATGAGGAGAGGTAGGGTGAGTCTAGGAAGAAGGGACCCCTGTCTAACTTCAGTTCCTCCTTCGCTATGTGGGGCATCTCACTGCTGTGAACTACTTCAGAATAGACAACTGGAGGACCTGCGGCCAAACAAAAGAAAGGTTGTAATTTATTTAAATTATTTAGAGAACTTTTTGAATTGTTCAAATTAAACAATTACAGATAAAGCTAAGATAGACGGTACCAGTGCAAGGGGCACAGCATGTTCTCAGCGTTCTAACTTAAGTTTCCCCAAAAATTTATGGTAAAATTTCATTTGTTGGAGAAGTTTCAAGTTGATTGAAAACTTCAGAACAATTTCCATCTCTCAGATTTCGAAATAAAAATCAAATTTAAGCTGTGAAATTCTTACTTAAGCTCTTAAGGGTAATTTTTTTTTTCATAAAACAAACTCAATTAGAAAATTTAAGCTCAACTAGCGGTAGGATTAGCAAACTTTCTTAAATTAATCTCCTTAATCTGAATCAAAAAGTAATGTTATTATTCCGCAGGAATTCAGAAATTTAAATATTTTTGAAACGAAGTCAGTCACGTTTTTGTGAACTTTACACTTTTACTGTTCGATAGCGAAGTTTGCTTTCTTTTGAGCAAAGGAAATTAACTCAAATTAAAAAACAAACGGCGAAAAAATCAAATTAAAAGCAAAGGTTGTCTATGATTTATCCGATCTATAAAAAAACTACAAACACTTTTTTTCACTTTTATCAAACTAGTGTTTGTTTTGTGTGCGTGCTGTGATGAGGATCTGAACAGAAGACTTAAACTAAGGCACATTCATTAGTCATATCTCAATAAACCTAATGGATAACCGTATAAAAACGGCTAGAAAAACAAAAAAACTTTTTAAAAAAATCAGAACTTTGAACAAATCAAGATGGCGCTAAAAATTCGGAGCAAAAAAAAAACGGAGCAAAAAAAAACTCACATAATGACCTGTAAAACAGACAATCACTTTGCTCTTTTACTCTTAATTACCTTGAAAATGCATTATACTTAGATAAGAAAAACGTCTCTTACTTATTCCTAAGCGTAAAAAAAATTTTCTCGACAACGATCAAAAGAACTATATGAATGTACCAAAAGTGCAAGCAAAATGGTTTTGTTGTGTTATTTTTTAGATTTAATTCAATTCAATACAAATTAGTAATTTGATAACTTAGTTTAACAGTGAATTCAAATTGTTCCGGAGACAAAATTTTCCTAACACAGCTAAGCAGATACCGATTTCGAAAAAAAAACTCTCGGCTTCCAATTGATTTGTCTCTAGAAAAACTTTACGGGCCTAAAATAGTACTAAAATGGGACCCTTTGGGTTGCTTCTTTAAAATAACAAATTAAGAACTCTTGTCATAATGATTCAAGTATTAAAAAACCAGGAGATTATCATTCTCAAAATAAAAATCAAAGAAACTAGCTTGAATAACAATTTAGCTAAGATAGATTTAAACAGAACTATTCTTCCCATCATTGAGTTTGCATACGGGTAAGCTTTTTTATGCACAAATCTAGATACTACATAGAAACGTCAAATGGGTAGATTGATATATCAGTTATTTCTCCTTTCATTCGTAATTCAAACGATAACCAGGAAAATAAAAAAATACATTGTCAAGAAAATTACAACTAGCCTTTATTTTTTTTTTTGATTTAATATAACTCGCTAGGACAGATTTGAGCCTCAAATCAATGTTATTTCAACCAAGAAAACTTCCGTTTTATCAATCATAACTAGTTCCTGTTTTTTATTTTGAGGCTTGAGGTCACTTTCTCTCCCCTTGTAGCCCTCCTAAATTTCGAAGGGTATAACATATTCGACATACCATTTATTCCGATGAGGATGGTGGTGGCTACTGCGAGGAAGAAACATGAGAACACTGTGAAGATCTGTCTCTTAGTAAGCGAATACAGCTTCATCTGCACCGACCTACAACAAAACAATTGTCAAGTAACCCTCAGAAAAGCAATCAGTTTTTACCTCAGAAAAGCAATCAGTTATGCTGAAAAGTTTTCGATATATTTATGTTTCAAACTTATTCTACGATTTTTTGAACTATGATTTTTGAACTACGATTTTTTGAACTAGGAACTGAGACAGCTGAAAAAACTTTAGCGGCGATGAAGGCACTTTCTTTTGAATAAATTACCCTAAATCATCAAGGTTCACGGAAAAGAAAAATTATTGGAAGCAAAATAAAAGCCCTTCACTCTAGGGCAAACATCTGATATACTACACATCCAAAATAAGGTAATAATTAGATATGACCAAAGAAATTCATGCACAATACATAATTCAATTAGCCGATTCTGATTTAGCCGACCCTTGGTCTAAGGTCGCTGATGGTCGCTCTACGCGCGCGACACCTCTTTACGGCGATAGCATATTTCATATGAGTGCTATTAAGTGTTGGCAAGCTCGCAACACGTTGACGCAACTGCCGCGGTCACAATTACTTCAGCCAATACATCTTGCCTCTTTTAAGCAAACAGTAGAAATCGGATCTTTGCCCTACTTTGTGAAAGAAGTCAGATGTTTGCCCTAGTAAAGCAGTTTTTCGGATGTTCGCAACACTTTTAGGTTTTTCGGATGTTTGACATATCGAATGTCTGCACAGTACCCGAAATTTAACGAGCTTGATTAACATTTAATGAAGAAAGTGTTAGACTCACGAGTCAATGTCATCGATGCTTCTGAATTTGGGACCACCAAACATGTTTAAGACAGCGAAATCTAGCTCACGAAACAAAGCTGAACACGGGCGAAATCCGATGTTTCAGCAGCTAAGTGGCGTGTAAAGTAAAATATAATCAACCATAGAATCTGAAATAATACAATAAAGGTAGCATGATTTCGATTCAGAAGGCAAGGCTAAAAATAACAACTTGTATTGTACAGAAGTCAAGAATATACCAAAGACGCAAAGGATACAGAAAAAAGTTTAGGTAGAATAATTTAATTTGTCGATTATGGTTTTTCTACAAAACAGTAACACCCGGCATGAAATGAGCACCTGGGGGAAATTTGTGTAATAAATATCATTGAAAATAAATTAGGAAACTGGCATGAATGGATACGAAAAAAGTTAACTGCACAGTGCAAATGAAATAATGCAAACTTTTCATTTGAACGAACTCATAAACATTCAATAAATCGAACTCGTTTTTTCAAGGACGACACTCGTTTTTTCACCAATCGAGGAGAAACTCGAAACTTGTGGCACCTCCCACTTTCTGTTCACCCAGCTCTTCTGAAATCGTCAATTGAGGAGCAATAGTTTCATTATTACCAGACGATACTTTACTAACTTGTTCATCAGTAACACTATTACTACTAGTGCATGTTCCAGTTTCTTCTGCGATAGTAACGTCGTTAGATTGCACCATTGGAATTTCAGGCTTCTCGATATTTGCTGATTCTGCTAATTTTACAATCGGATGAAAGCTAGTTGCTCCAGTTGAATCATGATCAGTTTCAATGTCACTTGTAAGTGTCAAAGCCGAATCACACTTAGCCGACCCTTTGTTATTCAGCCTAATCGGAGACCTTTCGTTGCTTTCGTTAAGCATGCTCGTTTTGTCTTTGAGTTGTTTACCCGATAGAAGTGGCTTCTGTGACTTAAAAGATGCCGAGGAATTAGTCGAGATGCTGCTTGACGCTTCTATTGATGCTGTTTTGGACACAATGGTACTTGCAGTTGACAATCTAGCCCTAAAAAGGAGGCGTTACTTCAGTTGGTTTGGCTTAGAGATTTTTCAGTTAGTTCAGCTAGTCTTGAGTTTCAATTTCGAAACCTTTGATTCCTTTTTAATAGTGCGTCAAAATGGGTTTCCGAGATGATTTTACAAGTGTTTATGGCAAAAAAAGTGATATTTTTTTTACCAAAACATGAACGTTCCAAAATTTCTACAAAAGTAATTTCTACAACCAAATAATTAACCGACAAAAAAACTTTAACCAGCAAATAATTAATTACATAAGTAAACTGTGTCATTAGGCGTCGGAGCAAATCCCGCTCGAGCAATTTAATTTTTTTTTTCAATTTTAATTGCTCGATTTGAATTAATCTTTCTCATTTAAATTGAGTGGACTCATAATTTTACATGTAAATAAATTGATTTTAAATAGTTTAAATTTAAATCGACATCGCTGCTAATAAATAATGATGTTAACCTCAACATCGGAGACGTTTTTCCACCATTGCCCCCCGCTGTTGTCATCTGTTGTGGCGCCACACTCAAACTATTGGGATGTCTGCTCAGAGCAGGAGAAGAGGAAGTGGAGTTGGAGTGGTTCAGACTAGTGTGGGAGTGGGCAGAGGAAGGAGACACTAAGTGGATGTTCAGTCTGCTCTGGGCTCTCAGGGCTGGTCTGCTCACCCGTTTCTTCACATCTTCCCCTAATGAAAACACTTCTACTAAATGTTTATTTCCCATTCTTCCCCATATAAGATTATTATTTATTAAACGCTATACTTTTATTATCCATTTATAATATTTGATGAAGTCAAGTAAATTTGTCAAGTACTGGCATCGAAAAGAACGACCAAAAAACCGGAATAATTTTTTTTGAATAAATGCTGTGGGGATTTCCATTTTTATTTTACATAACTTCCTTGTATTACATTAAGTTGCCAGATTTACTTACTAAAGTTTTCCAAGAATTATAACAGAAAAATCTCAACAAATGAGTTTTCAATTTCTCCGATAAAGTAAATCTACTTCTCGCATTTTCCGTGGAAGCGCATTTCAAATTTTGGCGCCATAAAAACTGAAGGCTCTTCTTCCGACAAGTATAAACTAAAATTTTAAATCTAGAATCTAACGATGATTTGTTATATCAAATATCACATCAAGCCACACCAATAAGCCCACTCACATACATACACTGCAATTTATCCCAAAAAGTCTGTTTCTAAGATACAATAACCCAAAAGCACGTTTTGTTTTCTATAAACGAATTCACACTAAATTCCAAGTCTGAAAACAAGAACACTGATCACACATTTAGTTAACATACGGACACAAACATCGACACTAGACTGGGTAAATATCAGTTTAGTTGAATAAGTGTTACCATTATCTGCACGGACTGCATGCAGACTTTTCATTGTTGGTTAGAAGGAGGAGACGGGGTTGCTTTGAGGGGTGCTGAAAAGTTAGACATGGTTATGACAAGACTTAAGACGACGCAGTACAATTATCAGGACAACAACAGCACTACACTTCACAGATAGAACACCAACATGAATTAAGTTTTCAAAACCATTTAACAAACTAAGTAAAATGAACATAGTAAAGCGGGACCTTAGGTCAACTAAGAGTACTGCAACAGAAAAAAGAGCTCCAAAATTATTGCCATAAGTAACTCGACAAAATAACATACAATTTGAAACAAGATCTTATGATACATAAACATATTCAATTAAAAAAACGCAGTAGAGTAGTAATACGTACAAGCGACAGGGTCCTGCTTTCGATTCCTGGCCTCCTCGATAACTCTTTTTTTCATATCCGATAACTTCACAACCCTCTCTTCGTCCCCCTCATTTTTCGACTCTTTCACTTCCCCATTGTTTCCACTCCCTTCTGATTGTTTATTAGTTAATGTGTTGGAAGGCGCGGGCGACTTGTCTTTTTCGCATGTGAAGCTGAAGAAGGAGAACCCGTTTTGTGGGAAGAAAGAGAAAGGCGAGGAGAATTCGTCGACGAACTGAACCTGAAATACAAAAAAAAAATGCAAAAACGAACTAAAACTCACGATGCATGCGTTAATCAAAGCTTACTTAACTACTTATTTTACAAACATTTACATAACAGCAAAATAGAAATTCTAGAAATTTAAGCTTCATAGATATTTAGGCTTCCTAGAAATTTAAGCCCACATGCTCGATTAGCAAACGATACAAAAATTTAAAATATTAAGTCGCTGTTGAACGAATGGCCTTCTAACTGTCTCTCACAACACAACTTAACTATGAATATTCGTAAATTGCTTTTTTTGCTGCATTGTTTAATTTTTCATATCACTTTTCGTCGTGAAATTATGTTCCATTTGCCGGAAGAGGCCCTGCTTGGTTGAAAAATGCCAGCACCAACCAAAAAATAGATAACTCAAATTGAACTATCAGAAGATTTATATCAGATTTGTAATTTAGCTTTGCAGCAAACTTATCTCAATCATACTAATGAAAAGAGTTTCTGTAAAAAACTCTCACCATTTTGTTTTGTTGCTCCTGTTCGTGGCTGGATGCGATGCTCTCCAGGTTGGTGACACTGGAGGCTACTGAGGTCACTCCACTCATTCCACTCACTCGGTTTTGCTGTTGATCATTCGCGCCACGCCTCTTCCTCTGAATAAGTCTGAACAAACCAAGACACATGGAAAAAGTCGACCAGCTCAAGAATATCGCAAACAAAATTGGTTCACTTTTTTGAGCATTTTTCAACATTCAAATTTCGAAAAAAAATATTCATGAAGTTTAAACTCTTTAAACTTCAAATACTTTTTATTGTTGGCACTTGAAGAATGCTGGGTCATTAGATACCCTTTTTATTTCGCTGGATATCTAATATTTAAGTATATTTTCGGAGCTGAAAGCCATTCACGTTTATTAGCGATATTCGAAATTTTGTTATTACAGAGCGAAATTTTCGAACTAATTTTTGTTTAAGTAAAGAATTATGATTGAATTTAGCCTGAAGAAAAAAGTGCAAATGCGAAAAAAAATTTGAGCATGATTTTTCCTGAAGTACTTTTTCCTGAAAAAAAAACGAGCAAAAAAGAACGTCGTAATAAATGATAAATCATTTCGTTCAAAATTGCTAAACAGCTAAAAGCTTGGATAGCTTGTTGGCACGCATGAGACTATTCAGATAAGAGTAACAAAAAACAGCCAACCGTCAGTTCGAAAACATTTTGAATCTTTGCTCTAGTTTCAATCTATCGAGTTTCACTTTACATCTCGTTGATATTCAAGAAACTTATCTTTCTAATTTAAAAAAACTAACTCAAAATTGAGATGAATGGACTTTAAGACGATTCTTTAATTCCGCTAGAAGAGCCGATAAACGAAACCGTCTTTGAAATTAAGATCAATTCCCCTCTCGTCCCACCAATTGCACTTTCTTTAAATGAAAAATACAATCTGCCAGTCATTTAATAAATTAACCCACAGCAAGAGAAAACTGGGTCAAAGATATTTCTCTTATTCCGCTGAAAATTCACATAATGAGGTCTTAAATGAAATTCACGTCTTTTCTAGCTATTTAAACTTTTATAACTGCAGAGCGTAATTTGGCTTCTTTATTGTAAATGAATTTGAGTCATTGAGCGAGAAGAAAATTAAAACATTTCCTGAAAAAAATCAACACAGCTAATACAGGATCTTCACTGCGTTCATTGACACTTAATTCGTGATGTCATAAGAAAACACAAGCGTTTGCTTGTGTACTGAATCAAACTCATACCGCCATTAAAAAAATGTGCAACGTGCTTAACTATATCACATCTTCAGGAAAGCAAAAATAAACACCTAAATAAGTGAAAACTCAATTCGAAAACGTTCGAAACCATCGTAACCAGGAACGTAATCTTAAAATGATCCAATTTCAAAGCACCGTTTAGGAATGGCAGTTTCTGATAAAACTAACCCAATTTGAGAAAACTGGACTCCTTCACTGGATATCATTTCTTTATTAAGCTGTTGAATGCTACCAACAATTCACTTCAAAGCCAAAATTTTCGCGTCGAAATTTTTAAGCGTAATCAAAAAGAAAACAAAACAAATACAAATCATCACTACGTTAGGTAGCACTTTACAGATGGATATCAATCTTAACAACAGAGTCCATAGCGGTAATCCTTTTCAGAGTTAACTATCACTAAAAATAACCCCCCCCCCCTCAAGATTTCAAAAGTCATACTGCTTATACCTTTTAGCAGCATAGTCAGGCAGGCCGATCAGTCCACTGTCGAAAGCCACTGGATTAGGGAGGGCTGTGATTTTACAGCAAGATGTATCACCCCCGTCTATTGAATCCAGCCCCCCTTCTGTCGAAATACTGGGGCTGAGAGCTTCCATAACTTCCGTCATTTTCAAAAGAAAAGTTCCAACTTTCACTTTTCGGAGAAGCAAAAAAATGATGCCAAACTTATACCTGAAAACAAACTCGAGCTAGAGGATATGTGTGTGTTCTTTTAACTTTAAAAATTGTGTTCTTCTAACTTCTGTGTTCTTTTAACTTTAAAAAAATTGATTTTTCTATGCTACTCACACCCATGTTATTACACAAAAATCTGTCACACAATCTTTAAATGCATTCGATTATATAAGATGCACAATGAAAAAAAAAGTTAGCTGTTGCATAGCTTCAATTATGGAGTATGAGCCAGCGGCGAAAAAGGTAGAAACAGAAAAAAAAACTATGACACAGAGACGAAGCAAATGAAATATTAAAATATGCCTTGAAAATGCAAATCAGACTATGTAATTCCAACCTAGAACCTTTTAAGTCACATGATGTAACGGAATAAAAATTTAAAAAATTGCTCTGTACAAAAATAGAAATGTCATGACTTTCCACATCAGAAATCTCACACATTTTATCTCTGTTTTGTTATTTCAGAGCATGTTCAACTTTCGGCTTTTGAAGGTTGCCCATGTTTCCTAGAATGACGTCAAAGTTCGCTGTACAATCAATTTTTTTCTGAAATTGCCAATCATAAATTTCTTAGAAGACCTAAGAACGCTAAGATGATATTTTTACTTAAAATTTGAAAGTTAGTTACAAAAAAATATATACAATTTTTGGTATCTGAGGTTGATGCCATTTTTCCAATTGCCTCTTGGATTATTTTTGCGTGCGATCAGCGAAAGTCATTAAATCGGAAGATGTTATCTAATCGAAAAAACTTCAGGTTAATAACTTGTTTACAATAATCATGTAAAATACCATTACTGCTATTGTCAATTAGTAGTTAAAGATCATGATGTGTTTCAGATTTATGTAACGAGTTTTGTACTGTGGATGCGCGGTCAGGCTTCTATCTTCAACTCAGGGATGCGCTTCGTGATGTTGACTACATTCTCTAGAGTCTGAGCTTATCTTATCGTTAACAAAACTGAGTAATATTAGTGATTCATTTAGTCTTGTCTTTTCCGAGCTTGTTACTTTCTCTCGCTCCCTCAGTCATACTGTTTTTCTTCGCTTTTTTGTTTTCATTAGGAAAATATAATTTGACACTTTGCAATTCATCTAATTGGCATTGAAATGTAATCTATTTGACATCTAATTTATTTCCATTAAATTGGATGTGTAGCACTGTTGATTCTTCCCTGGCGGCTATTCATAAGGGGAAATAAGGGGAAACGGATCTCCGTGATTTTGTCGGATCCTACGTTGCACCTTCCTTCTCTCAGAGCTGCCGGACGTAACTTAACTTCCTTACTATGAATCAAAAACCGATGATGGAGTAAATATGTTGCGCGAAGCCAAAGCGAAACTGATTGACAACCCGCACCTGACCAAGATCGATCCATTGAATGATATCGCAAGACCAATCACGCACAACATGAAACTACTCAAACAGAGCCTTTTAGATATATTGGAAGAATATATACCACTGCGACGATCACTGATTCTGACAGTGATCGTGTTCTTTGGAAATTTACTACTGCACGCACTGGTGATGTACTTATACCACCGCTTCGCGATTTTCCGAAAACTAACACTAAAGTTTCTGAAGTCACAGGAGCGAAAGATACAACTCAAACCAGTCCTGTGAGTAGCCGGCGCTGACGGGAAGGACCTTTTTGTGCCACAGCTACCCATCATTCAAGCCTACCAGAGGATTGACTCAACTGGGTCTCAGTCTAGATTGCTTTTCATTAAGATTTGACCCACACTAAAAATTTAGTTTTTCTTGCTGTTTTCATTTTATTTCCATGAAACGACGTTTTCAACAAACGTTAACGGCTAGAAAAGATTAACAGGACAATGATTGCTTGCGTGTGTTGAAATACAGCGCGGTTCGGGAAAAAATATCATCTAGCCGTCATTCTTTGAACTGCAACAAGTTGGGACCTTAATTGGAAATTCTGTCACGCACTCCTGTAGCAATACATGAAGGCTAAAGTTAAAGTCTCCGAAAAGTAGTCCTCGACAGTGGTAGCACTAGAAGGGAAGGTGGCAAATGTCATTATTCAACTCGCTTTCCCTTCCCTCAGTTTCAGAACTTCTCAGCTATGGTCGCTCTCTGCTCTGAATTCGTCGAGCTATGTGACTCATCAGATTGTCAGGATGGCTAACTTGCCAATAGTTCAGGTACTTCAGAGGTACTTTCATTCAGAACAGGAGAGAAAACTACATAATAGTGATGTCGAAACAGTTTCTTCCTATTTCCTTCTATATTCAGTCATTGTCAGGGGATTATTGAACACTTCAGTTCTATTTTCTTACGCTTTCCCTTCTGCTGCTTTGAAAACTTAGTCCGACTCATCGGAGCTTTGTAACCGCGGTCTGCTTCGCGTAGTTATTTCGGATTTGTCTCCATTATCAATATATTTGATGGCTTTAACTTAATACATACTTAATTAGAATTTTCTGGTAGTTCTGTAGTTTTGCATTCCGACTAATGTGAACATCTCCAAATTGACCAACTCCCGGTTGAAGCTCTGATATGGAAGGTAGCAAGCTTCGCTGATAACTTGTATCCATTCCTCAAATACAGAACGCCCTACATTTTTGGGTGTTTTCTGCTCCGATTTTGACGAACTCTGTTTTATATATTTTATTTGGCTTTTTAACCATCAAGATACACCTTATACATCCGTTTGCTTATAATGTACCATCATTTGTTTTATAGTTTCTCCGTTGAAAAAATTTTTTCTTTTACTCCATTATATGGAAAAATGGTTGAAAGATAATTTACCGCGTCCGGAAAATAGAAATGAGAATAAGTCTACTTTTGCTTATAAAAAAGAGGAGTCTACTTAAGTTTCTCTAGCCGCCTAAGATTCTCAGCCAGTTTTTCTATGTCTTCCGTTTTTGTTTCTTCCCGGAAAATGGAATTTTGTTAGCATGCAATTATGATTTTACAGTTTAGCTCCCCGGAAAATAGCTCTACAGTTCAGCTCTCCTTTTAAATGGTCTGTTTTGGTACAAACGATACTTACAGGTTTTCCTTACTGATATCTTTTCGTTGGCTACAAAGTTTGTTAGTTGTATCGATCCTTGCGATTTCTACTTATCGAATCGACTTTTCATTGAAAAATTCAGGCTAGTAACGAATCCTTGGTTTTACCGATCGATTTTTGCTCTTTTTTCGATGTCTAGCCTTTCTGGTTGTTTGGGCTATGGCATTTGTGACTATGGGAACACAGCCTGAAGGAGTTGAACTCCCCAACCAGAGAAGACCACATAGGTTGTAATAATTGTCTGATAACATTAGACTGTAGGACTCAGTTGGTCAGCAAGTATATTAAAATCAGGTCGGACCTAGTTAGTTGTGACAAAATACGAGCGAAACGGATCTCCGTGATTTTGTCGGATTTTACGTTGCACCTTCCTTCTCTCAGAGCTGCCGGACGTAACTTAACTTCCTTACTATGAATCAAAAACCGATGATGGAGTAAATATGTTGCGCGAAGCCAAAGCGAAACTGATTGACAACCCGCACCTGACCAAGATCGATCCATTGAATGATATCGCAAGACCAATCACCACCATATAAGTACAGGATGATGTACTTATAAGGTGGTATAAGTACATCACCAGTGCGTGCAGTAGTAAATTTCCAAAGAACACGATCACTGTCAGAATCAGTGATCGTCGCAGTGGTATATATTCTTCCAATATATCTGAAAGGCTCTGTTTGAGTAGTTTCTTGTTGTGCGTGATTGGTCTTGCGATATCATTCAATGGATCGATCTTGGTCAGGTGCGGGTTGTCAATCAGTTTCGCTTTGGCTTCGCGCAACATATTTACTCCATCATCGGTTTTTAATTCATAGTAAGGGAGTTAAGTTACGTCCGGCAGCTCTGAGAGAAGGAAGGTGCAACGTAGGATCCGACAAAATCACGCAGATCCGTTTCGCTCGTATTTTGTCACAACTAACTAGGTCCGACCTGATTTTAATATACTTGCTGACCAACTGAGTCCTACAGTCTAATGTTATCAGACAATTATTACAACCTATGTGGTCTTCTCTGGTTGGGGAGTTCAACTCCTTCAGACTGTGTTCCCATAGTCACAAATGCCATAGCCCAAACAACCAGAAAAGCTAGACATCGAAAAAAGAGCAAAAATCGATCGGTAAAACCAAGGATACGTTACTAGCCTGAATTTTTCAATGAAAAGCCGATTCGATAAATAGAAATCGCAGGGATCGATACAACTAACAAACTTTTTAGCCAACGAAAAAATATCAGTAAGGAAAACCTGTAAGTATCGTTTGTACCAAAACAGACCATATGAAAGGAGAGCTGAACTGTAGAGCTATTTTCCGGGGAGCTAAACTGTAAAATCATAATTCCATGCTAACGAAATTCCATTTTCCGGGAAGAAACAAAAACGGAAGACGTAGAAAAACTGGCTGAGAATCTTACGCGGCTAGAGAAACTTAAGTAGACTCCTCTTTTTTATAAGCAAAACTAGACTCATTTCTATTTTCCGGACGCGGTAAATTATCTTTCAACCATTTTTCCATATAATGGAGTAAAAGAAAAAATTTTGTCAACGGAGAAACTATAAAACAAATGATGGTACATTATAGGCAAACGGATGTATAAGATGTATCTTGATGGTTAAAAAGCCAAAAAAAATATATAAAACTAAGTTCGTCAAAATCGGAGCAGAAAACACCCAAAATGTAGGGCGTTCTGTATTTGAGGAACGGATACAAGTTATCAGCGAAGCTCGCTACCTTCCATATCCGAACTTCAGCTAGGAGTTGATCAATTTGGAGATGTTAACATTAGTCGGAATGCAAAACTACAGAACAACCAGAAAATTCTAATTAAGTATGTATTAAGTTAAAGCCATCAAATATATTGATAATGGAGACAAATCCGAAATAACTACGCGAAGGGATTTAGAAGAAGCAGACCGCGGTTACAAAGCTCCGATGAGTCGGACTAAGTTTTCAAATCAGCAGAGGGGAAAGCGTAAGAAATTAGAACTGAAGTGTTCAATCTCCTGACAATGACTGAATATAGAAGGAAATAGAAAGAAACTGTTTCGACATCACTATAATGTATGATTAATGTAGTCTCCTGTTCTGAATGAAAGCACCTCTGAAGTACCTGAACTATTGGCAAGATAGCCATCGTGACAATCTGATGAGCCACATAGCTCGACGAATTCAGAGCAGAGAGCGACCATAGCTGAGAAGTTCTGAAACTGAGGGAAGTAAAGCGAGTTGATTAATGACATTTGCCACCTTCCCTTCTAGTGCTACCACTGTCGAGGACTACTTTTCGGAGACGTTAACTTTAGCCTTCATGTATTGCTACAGGAGCGCGTGACAGAATCTCCAATTAAGGTCCCAACTTGTTGCAGTTCAAAGAATGACGGCTAGATAATGTTTTTTTCCGAACCGCGCTGTATTTCAACACACGCAAGCAATCATTGTCCTGTTAACCTTTTCTAGCCGTTAACGTTAGTTGAAAACGTCGTTTCATGGAAATAAAATGAAAACAGCAAGAAAAATTAAATTTTTAGTGTGGGTCAAATCTTAATAAAATGCAATCTAGACTGAGACCCAGTTGAGTCAATCCTCTGGTAGGCTTGAATGATGGGTAGCTGTGGCACAAAAAAGCATATGCACAAAAAAATTAAAATCACTTCAATTGTTCTTCTTGAAGTTCTGATTCTTGATGTTTCTGCTTCTTTCGATCATTTATCTTTGTTGTCCATTCAAGATGAAGTAGTTTAAATTTTAATTTCTCTTAGTACAAAATAAAGTCACTGGTCATTTGTAAAAATTTGGGAATTACAAGTGTGAGGGGCTACATATTTAGGTGTCAATCAATTTAGTTGCTATCCACTATTATTTATATCCTTGAGAGTTTCTCATATTATTACTAAGTGTGAATTTGGTACCTGCCTGTCAGTCAGTCTAGGTCTGAATAGTCTGTTATTGTTGACCTCTAGTTCAGTGTCTTATTTATGCGAACTAGAAACAAGTTGAATTCAATCTTCAACCGTAGAGTTTTACTTACCCTTGGTATGGCGCAGCCGACAGATGGAGGGGGGAAAACCCCCTTGGAATTGTAGCATTCTGGTCTCCGAATCAGGCGGAGCCACAACTATTTTGGGAGCATTGGAAACAGAGATTCCATTGGGCAATGGTGGAAAGCCGATGGAAGAAGGTGAACGCACACTCATATCGAACCTGTACTTATGTCTAGGACACGAGGGACAGCGGGCCTTGTATAATCAGCATCCAAACTTAAATATGGAAGAAATACGATACCCAAGATTCTTAGATACATGTGAACTCTTTTCCAGAAAGAGCGAAATGAAACTTACGAAACGTACCAAATGTTGTCCAGGAAGCAAAAAGAAGGAGAGAGTTTGGAGTCGTTCTACGCAGAACTCAGCGGAATGGCAGCGAGATGCAACCTGGGTACCCAAGAACGGAAAATGGTGAGGAACATATTCATATTTAATACGCGGAATAGGGACGCGCAGAACGAGTTGTGCCGGGAAACAAAAACCACGGAGGACGCACTGAGGAGGCGACAAGTACGCAAAAACTTACAAGGGATGTGCGCCAGGCTCCACGGGAACTACTTACACAACCCCCGGGAGTTCTCTACAAATCAAAGCGGAACCGATCAGTAATATTCGTGGATCTAGGGGACGAGTACCAGAATCGGGGAGGATCCCGAACGCAAGAGCGCAGATGCCATAACTGTGACCAACCAAATTTCACTCCAGAACACCGACAACGGTGCCCAGCAAGAGCCGTCACATGCAATTTCTGCAAGAAAGTCGGGCACTTCGAGAAGACATGTCGGGGAAAGCGGCTGTCACGTAGGGACAACCAGTTGGACTAATCCAAGGGGATGAAACGTTCGATGAGGAAGATACTCCCTTGGATGACGTTGGGTCACAACATGCTGAAAACTCAGTAGGTTTCGTCAAGAGAGAACATCACAGCTGGTCATCGGAAAGTTCGTATGACATTATGGTTATGGCAATCAGACGCAAAAAGGAGACATTATTGAAAGTTGCCGGGCCTAAACTAAAAATCTAATTTAATGGACACCCAATGAACATTTGGATTGACAGCGGATCGCCTATATCCATACTAACACTTGACGACTTGAAGAAAACAGTGGGAAGAACGGGAATCAACTTGAAACAAAACGACAAGGAATATGACGAATTTCGGGACTACAGCAATAATCGGATCGAAATGTTGGGGAGAATGGAGGTAGAGTTAGCATCGAACGGATGGACAACAAAAGCGGAAGTCAGGGTCATCGGAGGGACCAGACCTTCAATCGTGGGACGTGACCTGATGGGGAAACTAGGACTACAGTTGATGCAAGCAGATCCAAGGGGAGCAGTGATTAATATCCAAGGGACGACGGACAGCACATGTGAGAAGGAGCAGGCTGGAAAATCGGAAGAAGAGCAAATGGACCCCTGGCAACAGTATTTTAGTAAGCTATTCCCAAAACTTTTTACTAGAATCGGAAAAATTAGAATTTACAAGGTCCAAGCGGAATTTTTTCAAAAACCTCGCACCGGTGCAGCAAAAGGGCCGGAGAGTGCCGGTAACTCTCCAAGACAAAGTGGATAAAGAGATCGATAAGCTACTAGCCCAGAGACACAGGAAAATTGCAGGAATGTTCGGATCGATATTTTGTTTCTCCAATTGTTATTACCGTCAAAAAGGACGGTTCCGTGAAATTAACGCTGGAATCTCGAGAATTTAATAAACAGGTCCATAAAAAACAAGTACCAAATGCCCAACATAGGAGAACTTGTAGATACAATAGGACAACTTATTTCCGAGATAAAACAATGGGAGGTGTACTTTACCACGATGGATTTAACGTACGCATATGGACAACTACTCAGTGAAGAAACAAGTGTGCATTGTAATTTCTCATTGGTGGCCGAACGGTCGACCCGAACGAACCGGTTTCGTACAGGAGTTTACGGGCTAACATCAATGCCAGCAGAGTTCCAACGGGTAATGGACTCAATTTTAAACGAATTCCCTCAAGCAAACGCTTCCATTGATGATATTTTGGTTACAACCAAGTGCACTGAAGTGGAACACATATCCTTGGTTGAAAAGATTCTTCGAAAATTAAATCGAGAAAACATCTCGCTAAAACTACCTAAGTGCGAGTTCGCAAAACGAGAATGCGAGTGGCTCGGTCATCGTATAAGAGAAACGGGAATAACGCCTTTGAAGCGTAAGACGTCGCCGATCGATGCATTAGCGGCTCCTAAATCAGTAACTCACTTAAAATCATTCATGGGCTCGATCTACAGCCTCCATAAATACTTACCGGCTATAGCAGAAATGTCAGCTCCCCTAAGGCCGCTCCTCAGCAAGAAAAGTGATTATAACTGGACCGCGGAGTGCGAAAATGCCTTTCAAAATGTTAAAATGGGGGTAGCAAACATGGTCGAATTAAAACACTTCGACATTCACGAAGACATAAGGGTTGTTTGTGATGCAAGTCACAATGGTCTTGGAGCAGTTTTGGAGCAATTGGGCACAGAAGGTTGGCGCCCAATCTCATTTGCATCACGATTTTTAAACACTGCCGAGAAAAAATACTCCACTAACGAGCTCGAAATACCGGCAGTTGTATGGGGGGCCGAAAACTTCCGAAACAACATACTAGGAAGACCTTTTACTGTAATAACAGACCATTAAGCTCTAATTTCACTACTCAACGGGAATAATAATAAAAAAAACTCTATTTTCAAGACTAACAAGATGGCTAGATAGACTTATTCCGTTTGACTTTGTCATAGAACATTAACCAGGTGCAAAGATCGGAATCGCGGATTATTTGTCAAGACACCCTAACGAACCCCCAAAACCTATAAGTCAGTACAATAACTTATTCACTGTCGCAAAACTAGATTTAATAAGGAAATCCCTTGGTTTCACGAATAATTCTAAATCCCCTGGTAAACGAAACAATATCAAAACAAAAGAAACTGGTTCTAAACAGTCTAGACAGTTTTCGTCCAATCAGAATCAAGAACGGAAAACATGCTTACGCACAACGACGGTTGAGGGCGGAAAGTCATGCTCGAAGAAACCGACCAATAGGAAGCGATCAATTTGCATACCGCATACATCAGCGAAATCCAAGGGAAATTCAGTGTGCTCTATATATCATTCCCTTGGAAGACGGTTCAAACAGCCTAATTTACAAAAATCAGACAAAATGGACGAAAGCTCAGATTGCTCTTTTCCAGTTATAGATATAGATTCTTAAGCCAACTCTTCAATTAGATTAGATGAAAACCTTATGAGTAGCGACGAAATCACTGTTATAAGCCCAGAAATCGAAGCACTTACAAAAAACACACGGAATTCAAAAAATAACACAGTGCTTTCCATTCCTTCAAAAATTCCAGGCGAACTATTTCCTACTATTAACCCTAATCAACGAATTATCTCCATTATTCCACGAGATTGTAAAGTCATCAAGAAATCCACAGCGTTACCGGACTTATTTAATTTAGAATTTATTGCTTCCAACATACCGGCGGACATCAATTTGCTCAAAGTAAAATAGGCACTGCAGAAGAAAACAAACCTGAAGGAGGAACTGACGAAAGTCGGGAAGTACTGGGCCCAATACGCCAATGACCTGTCACTGAAAGATGACTGCGTGTGGTTAGACGGACGGCTAGTCATTCCTCAACCACTACAAGTTACGATCGAGACGAGAATTCACTTCTACCACCATGGGAAGAAAAATATGTTTGAGGCAGCGCCGGATGTATGTTACCCATACATATACCGTAGTCTTGCAGCAGACGCCACGTACTGTCAACAGTGCACGGATGCGGGTAAGAACTTAAAAACTTTGCTACCCAAGGGAGGCGTAGGAGAAGTCCCTGAACCAAGGGAACCGAATGAATGTCTACAGTTGGATTTCTGGGGGCCAATAAGCTACTTAAACGAAACAATGAAATATGTCTTAGTTGCTACAGACCGTTTTTTATGGTGGCCATCAGCGATGGTTACTACCACCAATACTTCCGATAAAGTTTTAAAATTTCTCGATAAATACATCACCCAACATGGAATACCTCGAAAAATTCACGTAGACCAGGGGTCATGTTTCACATCTAATAAGTTTAAAAGTTTCTTTAATAGCGAAGGTATCGAGCTAGTCTACTCCCCAGTGAACGATCACCGGGGCACGGGTTCAGTGGAAAGAACAATAGGAAGGTTAAATAACTTTGTTCTCACCTATGCATCCGAAAAGGAGCATAAATCTTTAGTGTATGGTCGATAAAGCGTTAAGCGCGTTACGGTTCTCCAAAAATGCAACGACTAAGCTGACACCTTTTGAAGCACACCATGGCCGGGAAGTGAACACCGTCTTACGTAACCTCACGAAAAAACCAAGTCTGAAAAATCTAAACTGGAAAAACGTCTTACAACAAAAATGTTTGTGTTTAGGCGAAAATGACCGAGGTGAGCACGATCGCATTTCCCAAACACTCAAACTGGGAGGAGAGATCAGACCTAGTGAACGCCCCAGCGTTCAGAAATGCACCTCTAATCCTCGATAGCGATCAACAGATGGAGACTGGCCAAGGGAACGAATCGGTGACAAAATCAAACATCCAAGGGAGTGGAAGTACGATGGGCCTCTACCAGCGTACCACCAGCCGAACTCTAAACCGGTATAAACTCTTAAAATCTAATGTAATCTCCGAATCTAAACATACCATCAAACTGAAAAATGGGTCTGTGCTTAGGAAAAGTGCCGTGGCAGTAAAACCAAGAAGACTGCCAAAGAAACGAAAGCCGGCCACACTTTAAGAAATGCTCGCAAGTGCGAAAAAGGGGGCAATAGAAAGCCCAAAGTCAAAGCGGCCTAAAGCAAAACAAACATCACCTATAGCAGTAGATCAATCCGAAAGCTCGGACAGTGAGGACTACCAGCCTTTACATTCGTTACCCGTACGACTACTAGTCGAAATTTCGAGAGAGTGCCTTTCAAATAGCAGTCAGGAAGAAGGAGAGTCTTAGTTCTGTAGTTTTGCATTCCGACTAATGTTAACATCTCCAAATGGACCAACTCCCGGTTGAAGCTCTGATATGGAAGGTAGCAAGCTTCGCTGATAACTTGTATCCGTTCCTCAAATACAGAACGCCCTACATTTTTGGGTATTTTCTGCTCCGATTTTGACGAACTCAATTTTATATATTTTATTTGGCTTTTTAACCATAAAGATACACCTTATACATCCGTTTGCCTATAATGTACCATCATTTGTTTTATAGTTTCTCCGTTGACAAAATTTTTTCTTTTACTCCATTATATGGAAAAACGGTTTAAAGATAATTTACCGCGTCCGCAAAATAGAAATGAGTCTAGTTTTGCTTATAAAAAAGAGGAGTCTACTTAAGTTTCTCTAGCCGCGTAAGATTTTCAGCCAGTTTTTCTACGTCTTCCGTTTTTGTTTCTTCCCGGAAAATGGAATTTCGTTAGCATGCAATTATGATTTAACAGTTTAGCTCCCCGGAAATTAGCTCTACAGTTCAGCTCTCCTTTTATATGGTCTGTTTTGGTGCAAACGATACTTACAGGTTTTCCTTACTGATATCTTTTCGTTGGCTAAAAAGTTTGTTAGTTGTATCGATCCTTGCGATTTCTACTTATCGAATCGACTTTTCATTGAAAAATTCAGGCTAGTAACGTATCCTTGGTTTTACCGATCGATTTTTGCTCTTTTTTCGATGTCTAGCCTTTCTGGTTGTTTGGGCTATGGCATTTGTGACTATGGGAACACAGCCTGAAGGAGTTGAACTCCCCAACCAGAGAAGACCACATAGGTTGTAATAATTGTCTGATAACATTAGACTGTAGGACTCAGTTGGTCAGCAAGTATATTAAAATCAGGTCGGACCTAGTTAGTTGTGACAAAATACGAGCGAAACGGATCTCCGTGATTTTGTCGGATCCTACGTTGCACCTTCCTTCTCTCAGAGCTGCCGGACGTAACTTAACTTCCTTACTATGAATCAAAAACCGATGATGGAGTAAATATGTTGCGCAAAGCCAAAGCGAAACTGATTGACAACCCGCACCTGACCAAGATCGATCCATTGAATGATATCGCAAGACCAATCACCACCTTATAAGTACAGGATGATGTACTTATAAGGTGGTATAAATACATCACCAGTGCGTGCAGTAGTAAATTTCCAAAGAACACGATCACTGTCAGAATCAGTGATCGTCGCAGTGGTATATATTCTTCCAATATATCTAAAAGGCTCTGTTTGAGTAGTTTCATGTTGTGCGTGATTGGTCTTGCGATATCATTCAATGGATCGATCTTGGTCAGGTGCGGGTTGTCAATCAGTTTCGCTTGGGCTTCGCGCAACATATTTACTCCATCATCGGTTTTTGATTTATAGTAATGAAGTTAAGTTACGTCCGCAGCTCTGAGAGAAGGAAGGTGCAACGTAGGATCCGACAAAACCACAGAGATCCGTCTAGGTCCGACCTGATTTTAATATACTTGCTGACCAACTGAGTCCTACAGTCTAATGTTATCAGACAATTATTACAATATATGTGGTCTTCTCTGGTTGGGGAGTTCAACTCCTTCAGGCTGTGTTCCCATAGTCACAAATGCCATAGCCCAAACAACCAGAAAGGCTAGACATCGAACAAAGAGCAAAAATCGATCGGTAAAACAAAGGATACGTCACTAGCCTGAATTTTTCAATGAAAAGCCGATTCGATAAATAGAAATCGCAAGGATCGATACAACTAACAAAATTTTTAGACAACGAAAAGATATCAGTAAGGAAAACCTGTAAGTATCGTTTGTACCAAAACAGACCATATAAAAGGAGAGCTGAACTGTAGAGCTATTTTCCGGGGAGCTTAACTGTAAAATCATAATTGCATGCTAACGAAATTCCATGTTCCGGGAAGAAACAAAAACGGCAGACGTAGAAAAACTGGCTGAAAATCTTACGCGGCTAGAGAAACTTAAGTAGACTCCGCTTTTTTATAAGCAAAACGAGACTCATTTCTATTTTCCGGACGCGGTAAATTATCATTCAACCATTTTTCCATATAATGGAGTAAAAGAAAAAATTTTGTCAACGGAGAAACTATAAAACAAATGATGGTACATTATAGGCAAACGGATGTATAAGATGTATCTTGATGGTTGAAAAGCCAAATAAAATATATAAAACTGAGTTCGTCAAAATCGGAGCAGAAAACACCCAAAAATGTAGGGCGTTCTGTATTTGAGGAACGGATACAAGTTATCAGCGAAGCTCGCTACCTTCCATATCAGAGCTTCAACTAGGAGTTGGTCAATTTGGAGATGTTCACATTAGTCGGAATGCAAAACTACAGAACTACCAGAAAATTCTAATTAAGTATGTATTAAGTTAAAGCCATCAAATATATTGATAATGGAGACAAATCCGAAATAACTACGCGAAGCAGACCGCGGTTACAAAGCTCCGATGAGTCGGACTAAGTTTTCAAAGCAGCAGAGGGGAAAGCGTAAGAAAATAGAACTGAAGTGTTCAATAATCCCCTGACAATGACTGAATATAGAAGGAAATAGGAAGAAACTGTTTCGACATCACTATTATGTAGTTTTCTCTCCTGTTCTGAATGAAAGTACCTCTGAAGTACCTGAACTATTGGCAAGATAGCCATCGTGACAATCTGATGAGCCACATAGCTCGACGAATTCAGAGCAGAGAGCGACCATAGCTGAGAAGTTCTGAAACTGAGGGAAGGGAAAGCCAGTTGAATAATGACACTTGCTACCTTCCCTTCTAGTGCTACCACTGTCGAGGCCTACTTTTCGGAGACTTTAACTTTAGCCTTCATGTATTGCTACAGGAGTGCGTGACAAAAATTTCAATCAAAGTCCCAACTTGTTGCAGTTCAAAGAATGACGGCTAGATAATGTTTTTCCCGAACCGCGCTGTATTTCAACACACGCAAGCGATCATTGTCCTGTTAATCTTTTCTAGCCGTTAACGTTAGTTGAAAACGTCGTTTCATGGAAATAAAATGAAAACTGCAAGAAAAATTAAATTTTTAGTGTGGGTCAAATCTTAATAAAATGCAATCTAGACTGAGACCCAGTTGAGTCAATCCTCTGGTAGGCTTGAATGATGGGTAGCTGTGGCACAAAAAAGCATATTATGCACAAAAAAATTAAAATCACTTCAATTGTTCTTCTTGAAGTTCTGATTCTTGATGTTTCTGCTTCTTTCGATCATTTATCTTTGTTGTCCATTCAAGATGAAGTAGTTTAAATTTTAATTTCTCTTAGTACAAAATAAAGTCACTGGTTATTTATAAAAATTTGTGTATGACAAGGTCATTTCTTTATAAAATTAATTTTCGAATTAGTGTTATTTGAAGCCTTACTATTTAGTGTGGCTGTGTTCTATACTAACTCAACTATCAAAAGGCAGTTTTTACTCGGTAATACTCCCGTTTTTGCTGAGAAGTATTTCAGCTGCAGGGGCCATGTCGATCTTGTTTTCGGACCATGGTAGACTAGTTTTCTTACTCAAATTTCATGTCGATCTTGTTTTCGGACCATGGTAGACTAGTTTTCTCACTCAAATTTCATGTCGATCTTGTTTTCGGACCATGGTAGACTAGTTTTCTCACTCAAATTTCATGTCGATCTTGTTTTCGGACCATGGTAGACTAGTTTTCTCACTCAAATTTCATGTCGATCTTGTTTTCGGACCATGGTAGACTAGTTTTCTCACTCAAATTTCATGTCGATCTTGTTTTCGGACCATGGTAGACTAGTTTTCTCACTCAAATTTCATGTCGATCTTGTTTTCGGACCATGGTAGACTAGTTTTTCCCACTCAAATTTCATGTCGATCTTGTTTTCGGACCATGGTAGACTAGTTTTCTCACTCAAATTTCATGTCGATCTTGTTTTCGGACCATGGTAGACTAGTTTTCTCACTCAAATTTCTCAAAAGGAGAATCGACTGAATTTCAATGACCTTTTCTCTCTCCTCTCTTCTCTCTCCCGAATTTTTTTTATTATTGTTATATTGTTGAATAGATTTTTTCTGTTCATTTGAAGAATTTAAAATGCATCAACTGTATTAACTTACTATTCGAATGTCAAAGCACATGCTATCAAAAAGCCGTAAATGTGCCCCAAAAGTGGCACCAATATTTGCGACTTCAGTAATAAGAAAATCGTAGTATAACACTACCGCTCACTAAAATTCGCTCAATTAAAACTTTCTCTATGAGAAGAAAACTCGTCTGAATGTTTTCGCATTTTAGAATAAACGAAAGCAAGGTACTCTTGCTTTTTCTGCCATTGATCATCACACTGATTTTACTAATATTTTAATTTAATATTAGTTCCATCTACTTCATCCAACGACTGAAACTTCAATTCAAGTTCATGGAAGCTATTTCTTAGAATTCTGTCACTTGCAGAATACCACCTTCACATGAATAACTACTACCCAGTATAAAAAAATAAAGTTTAGAATACAATTAACAATAATGCACAAATTTAATGATCTAATGAGCTTCGCGGCGTAAATTCATCAAAACTGTGTTAAGACAATCCATATCCTCCAGGACCAGTTGGCCACCTTCCTGAAACAAAAATCAAAACAATCATTTTGAGTCTTTTTCTGTGGATTTTAACTCTAGCTTTTAGATTTTAAAAAAGCGGATTCAATGAAATAGTACTTCTCATTAGAACGTTTTAATGGTCTTATTAGTCTCTTGATTAGCAATTAAAACATTATGTTACAAAACGGAACATTTGTATTATTGAATGCTGTAAATGTATATAGAAAAAAAAACAATTTTTTCTTTTTTCCTTTCTTAGTTGCTCAGTACTGAGCTCAAAATAATGATAAAAAAAATGATCAAAATAATGATCGTAAGCCTTTTCAAAATTTAAATCGAAAAAAAAATGCAAAAAAATCGGAATAAGAATTGCGGTTAGGTTGTGGTGGTTTGGCTGAAAATTTCTTTCCTTTAAATCTACATATTTCCTTAAAATGAATTGCGGCATGCTTCATGTTGAAATTTTAACGCACAGTTCGAATGATACGCTTCGCTGATTCGTTTTCGGAAGAACTAACATTGGGTAAACTACACTTACCTTTCAAGTGAAGATGACTTGAGACGTTGTTCGCGGGGTTACCTAGATTGATGTTGTTGCCACCGTGAACATTGCCATGATCTCGACTCGACACAGAACTGAAAGACGATATCAGTTATTTTACATCTTAAAAGCAGTCGCCAGTCGCTCGATTGAGGTGAATTGGCGAATTTTTATTTGTTATCATTTTTGTGAGCTATTCAAAGTGACATAAATGGTCAATCATGAGGTATAGAAAAACTGAAAATGTAGAGCACAAATTATTATTAAATTAAATTAACTAATGGCCTATTAACTGATGGCCTATTATATTAACTACGCGACGATTTGAGATTTCAGCAGTTTTCATATATACTCTGATGAAGAGTGAAAACCAGTGAATTGACCGCTTATGGAAAAGCCGCTTTTCGCTTTTACCGCTTTTCTAAATTATAGCTCTCCGCTTTTTAAGAAAACAAACAGTGAGAGAAAAAAGTCTCTGGCAGAAAAAAGTCTCTCGACAGTACCTGTGTCAGGGCTCACAGAAAGTGCGTTGAAAACGAAGTTTTGTATGCTTTCTGGATAAGTCGACCAAATTTCGACAATGGGCGAGAATAAGTAACTCGACATGCGCTCTGCAACATTTTTATGTGTGAAAAATCGCTTTTCTAAAATGAGTCGCGCTTTTCCAAAAATCATTCCGCTTTCGCTTATTTCAACTGGTTTACCGCTTTTTCCGGCCGCTTCCGCTTAAAGCGGTCAATTCACTGGTGAAAACACAAAAAAAACATAACTTGGCTCTAATTTTTGTAGTCCTACCCTCTGTTGACAAGCTCACAGCACGTTGGCTCGACCATATTTTTTGTCTATTTTGTTTGAACAAAGGACAATTCTCGGTCGACCGGCTTTCAAAAACAAAGGTCACTTGGGTTTGTTTTGTATGGGACTGATTTGTACAGGCAAGAACTTTGAAATTTCATTTTCTTTCGAGATATAAATAATAATTTCACTTACTATTGCGACAGATTCGGCCTTCCTCCGTGTTGCTGGTGAAACGCAGCGGCCGCAACTGCCGATTGCTGTTGTGCCGCGGCCACTGCCTGTCCCGCCAAATTGGCCGAGTGTGCATGATGTCTACCATACTGCGACGCCGACAGGTGCTGTTCCACGCTACTCCCGTGCAGCTGCGGGTTCCCAGGATATCTTGAATTTATATTAAGATTTTGAATTTGAAAATAGACGCAGGCATAAATTACTATTTGTTTTTTTTTAAAAAGTCACTGCTTCAGGAACTACAGGCAGATGCTGTTTGTCTAGTAGCGCCACATACAGGTTTATTCAAAAATAGGAAGGATTCTTAACAACTTTGAATTCGTTCATGTCAACAATAGCTCGTAAAACAATAGTTCAACAAGTTCCGCATATGTCTCAATTACACACCCTTGAAATTGCAAAAATAATTTGGATCTCTTTAACTCTCCCACCTTCCACTCCTCTAGTGGACCTAGTAACGAACTACCACCCCTATGCTATAAAAATTAAACAGTCAAACATGCTTATTTTGTACCTGGCAAAGAATCTCCCCCCCCCTCCGCCTTTTTTTCCGAAAATGGGAAAAACTTAAATCAATCCAATTAACTACCTGGAGTTGCCTCCTTGTTGTCCCACAGCAGACGCTTGTTGTGCTGTGGCGTTTTGAAAATTAGCCAGAGTGGCTGCCGCCGTGGCGTTGTAGTGTGCTTGGTTTGCGTCGTAAATGCCTCTAACTTGGCTATGAGTCACTCCTGGTGGTAGGTTCATACTGGCAACTGCATGTGCCACTGGTGACATCGAAGAACCTAAGCAGCACGCTTTTTTAACAATCAATGAAAATAATGACGCCTAATGACGTCTCAAAATAATTTTTGTCCAGCGGCATCCAAATTGGCGGTTTAATTTAAAGTACTCTTCTTAAACCTTAGCTTAGCAAAAATTTTCTACAATTTTAGCAAAAAGGCTAAAGGCTACCGTTCCACGATTATTAAATATTTTGTGTAGGTGATGCCCTTTTTGACGCGCTCTACCTAACAAACATTTCAAAAAATTGATGGTTTGAAACCACCAATTTGTAGCAAAAAATCTTTTTTTTATGTACAAACGAATCCGCTGGATAAAATAGCTAAATCTATATATTTGGGACTTTAATTCGCTAATTCGCGCTGTCCAGACACTGTACAAAAAAGTTTCATCAAAGAAAAAAGGATATGCTTTTCAGAGCTGAACAGCTCGTTCGTATGATGGACTTCAGTGGAGCAACATTCGTTCGAAAGTTGCGTTCGAATGTATGTCAGCAACATTCGAACATTCGTCGAACGTTTTAACATCCGATATTTCATTAGATTTTCCCGTACTCCTGAAAAAAAATGTTAAACTGAAAATTTTCCAATTTCCATGCAAAATTTTTTGCATGTTTACACGATATCCAATAAAGGTTGCCCTTTTCTTGGTAACAACGTTTCCAGCAGTGCTAAAACAGCATCAGACGGGGTACTCGAAAATGGTATGCAGAAAATTTTCCTAGCCAAAGTTTTGAGTCTTGGAAACTTAGAGTAAACCACTCAATAACACGCAGGTCAAATAGGACGCAGTGTTTGCGAGAGCCTTCGAAAGTTTATCGTCGAACAAACGCTCGAACACTCGGTTGCACCCCTAATGGTTTTATACACTTTAAAGAACTGGCCACCATTTAATCCACAAAGCTTCAATTCTTAGTCTCAATGAAAATTTATACACTGAGTAGTTATATCAGACGAAAAATTCTAATAAAGGTTCAACAAAAAATTTTATTATAAAATTCTTGTCCTTTTATTGGTCAAATTTGACTTTAAAAAATTATATTACAAACTTAAAGAAGCAATATGAGATTTTACATTTGAAGTTTTTGCAGAAACCAGAGCGATGACTAACCTCTAGGAGTTGTCGATCGTGTGCCTTGACTGTACATTTTAACCAATTGCGGCGAGGGACTTCGACTCCTGTTTCGCTTTCTTACCCCACTTGTAGGAGTTACTTCCAAATGGGAGGGGTTACCACCTGGCGACATTGTATGATGCAAGGTATGTGTGTTTGCACCCATGTGCATGGACTGGGATTGAGGGTGGGGGTTACTGTGTTGGGAGAATTGCGTTCCAGGGTAGTCTAGGTTAGATTGGGATCCCCGGGTTCCATTGGTCACACGAGTAGCAGAGCCATGCGAAGAACCTTGAAAATTATAATAATTTGGAATCAAACAATTCAAAATAATTTTATCTTAAAAACTGACATGTACCTGAATTCCCGGGTGACCTCGTTCTATGATTCAAATGGTGCCTGAAACAGTATATTTATCAATAAATTAAAGCTGATTATTCAAACAGGTAAATTGTAGTGGTGCATTGCCTAAAATTTGCATGTTTCATTTGGCAGAACTTGGAATGTGATTAATTGCATCATCTGATTGTATAAAAAAACGCAGATAGATCGAACCTTAACTGGAAAATGATTAGGTATAAATGCATGTTCATCCCAATCTTTCTTTCACATGATGAAACGATGCTACGTTATGTAAGGAAAGAGAGCCAACTGTTGGGTAACTGAAACAGTAACTCTAGGTTCTATGAGTTAAACTCCGGTGATGGTGTTTTAAGTTAGTAAGGCACTAGTGACCGGACACTGGAGCAAAAATGAGAGACGCAAAAACTTACATTTGTGAATTGTGTTCATGGGCTCCTCTGGCCAAGTTGCTCTGCTGTTGTCCAGAAGACGACTCATAATGATGTGACTGGTGTCTCTGGCTACTGTGCTGCTGCTGTTGTTGTTGATGATGGTGAGGCGCTCTGTTGGAGGAACTAGACGATGTTAAATGTCTCTGAAGTTCGCTGAATTCCTTTGCTCTCAACAGTTCCAAATCTGCTTTGCGCCGTTTCAAGTCGTTGATCTGAAAAACAAATAAATAATAACGGATTCATAAACAGACTCTGCAATTGTTTAAAAAATAGTCAAATAGGGTCTGTTCTATCATATCATCATTAAAAATGTTTAAATCCACTAAATTGCAACAAAAAACTCATCCGAAAGCAAACACGATTTTTCAGTTGCTGAGCTGAACATCATAATTGTCCTAAAACTGGGATGCGTTGAGACAGAATCACTAAAAGAATCATAAAGGAGTCCTAAAAATAGATTGCTTAATTGATGCTAGAATGTCAGCTCGCAGAAAAATACTGCTGTCAAAATTCATGTTGACACCCGACGCTCCAACCGACCCGACCTAATATACGAGCTTAACACTCCGCAATATTTGAAACTCCGCAGCCGAATTAATTTAGGGGGGAGATTGTTCACTTGGGCCAACAACTACACTTCTCTTACTTCGTCAGAGATGTTCTGTAAGTAGTTCCTGTCCTCCTCCTGCTGTCTCCTAACTGCCTCCTCTTTCCTGCTCTGCTCCAGGGCCTGGTCTCGCAAGTATTGCTCAGCCTCTACAAAAATTTAGTCTTAAACTATTACTACTCCCACATTGTACTTTTTAGAGAATAACCAGAAATAGAAAGAACTAAATCCAGTGTTCAACATTTGCGGATTTTTTAACTTCTTACAATTCCCTCATTTTACAACAGTTACAGATAGCTGCTTCCCCTACGCCGTCCATGATCCGTGTGTTGTAAATAAAATAAGTTCGCTTTATCTTTCTTAATTATCGAGTCAGAAGCAGAGCGATGGACAATTCTTTACGCTAAAAGGAGCAGCCAATTCTTTTCGCAAACCCTGTAAAAAAATCGAGACAGAAGCTTTTTTTATCATCCCCGGTTGTATATAAGTGTTCCGACCACTTTAGTTTTTCTTCATTTTTTGTTTACCAAGCAAAATAAGGTACCACAAATAATCATCGGAATGGGTCAGGTGACATATCATATTAAAGCCCTTTCTGAGATTTTAGTGCCATTTATGAAATTAGAGATTTTAGTGCCATTTTGGGAATCACAAATTGCAAGAACAAAATTGAAAAAACCGGTAGTTATTTTATAGACTTGTTAAAAGGCAGTCTAAAAACTCGTGGTTTTAGCTTGATGCGATAAAGGTTGTTCCGACCATTGAAAACGGGGAGACGGAGAACATTCATTTTGGTTTTGGGTATGTTATAGTTTTCTTTTCAAAATTTTTGTTTTCCAAGCAAAATCGGGTGCCACAAATAATCATTGAAATAGGTCGACAAATGTATCATAGTGAAGCCCTTTCAGCAGTACTTTGGACGACCTGAAAAAACTTTCGAAAAATTGTCCCTGAAAAAAAAACGGAAAACGACTTGAATTTTTTTAGTTTTAGTCTTATTTCGAGTAACGTTTAGAAAATTAATTATGTAGAACGGAAAAATTGATTTTACTGCAAAAGCTTCATTAGCGCGTTCATGACATAATTATGTTTTCAACACAGAGGCGAAGAGCAAAAACACACTTCAACAAGAGCAAAAAACATTCAAAATCAAAAAAACCTATGCGTATAAAAAAAGCCGAAAAAAACAGTACCGAATAAAACATATTTCATTTAAAAAAAAACAGAAAATGAACCGACGGAAACTAGGCCGATAATCACGAATTCGGAAAAAAAATCAACATTTTTTCAAGAAAATTATTTGAAATCAAACTAACACCGGAAACGGACTACACCTATTTACTACCTAAATTAAGCTAGTTTTATTTGAATTTACTAGAAAATGAGCATGTCTGAAGTTTACCATTCCTGCACATTTGACCATTTTGTGCCTTAAGTTATTTACGGAAAAAGTCTAGTACCCGATTGCAATATCCTTGCTGATCGCAAGGGTAAAGACTGTGGTCGGAACATTATGTGCTTCTTGCACAATAACCGGCTATCCTTGTTACTTATGTGAAACGGTTTCGATACAAGATATATGAAAATATGCAAACAACTTTTTTGACACTGCAAATTTTTCAAAAATACCACAGAATTGTTTAAGACACAAAAAAAATGTTTCTTTCAGTTCTTTTAAATCTACCAATCTCTATTCGGGATAAAACTAGACCCACGCCCCCCGAGATGCCAACCGTGTACCTTTCAGTTGTTTCTGTCGGTTGAAATGAATAAATGAGGATATCTTCTTCATCGAGCGTGGCGATGTCTCCCGCTTCTTCACTGTGCTGCCCGGCTGTAAAGTGCAACTGGTTGGCGGAATGTACGCACTCAGCATTACTGATCTGAAACACTATTGATGTCAATTACGGCAGAAGTTATGCGAAATAGTGCCAATCTAGGGTTTCAGTCATGCAAAAAGCCAAAATGATCGACCAAAAAAAAAATACGAAAAACCGTTCGGTCCCATTAACAAATCCAGCGCACGAACCAAAATTGCAGAACCAAAGATTATAACAGTACGACCCCTTTCGTTCCAGTTAATAATCACAACATGCGCTAGCTTGTTTGGTCTTCATGAGCAACATAAAGAAGACAAAAAAACATCAATTACAGTCTTTCGTACTTCTTGCAATTCAACACAGACGTAGCACGGTAAACTAGACTAGCAGACAGAAAATGCGACGGAAACCGCAAAGTAACAAAATGTCAAAAAAGTCGATTTATCAAAATTTTCATAGGCTTGACTCAATTTTGATTGAATAAAGTTCAATTTGAAAAACAACAAGTCCAGAAATTTTAATGGAAAATCAGCATTCGTAGAAAACTAATCAAGCGTTTAAAAAGGCCGAAAACATTTGCTCAAACAGCCATTGATCCAAAAAAATGTTTTCATAGCTCATAGTCAAAACATGCACACGCTACACGCATAAGAAATTTTTCGCTCAATAAACGACGCAATATCAGGCCAATGAGTCGATGTATAATAAAACAAATATAATACAATAAGTTTAAAACAGGAGTTGATAACTTTACGGCCAAAATAAACCTAAATTTCATAGAACGGGTATAAAAAACACAAACATGCTCAAAACATGTCTTTTGGTACACAAAAAAAAAATTTGCAGACGACAACCAATTACATCAAATTCACCCTGTAAATAAATTTATTTATGGAAAAAACCTTTTACTCGTTAGCAATACTCTTGCTTATCGCAAGGTTAAATATGAAAAAATATATACATTAGAATTTCGCGAACATGAAAAAAAAACAAAAAAATCTCTCGATTATCGCAAGGAAGCAAAAATACATTTGGCCTACAGGCTCTGTGAATTTCAAGAACAATTTATGATTGAAACTTCTGAGAAAATTTTAAAAAAATCCACTTTCGAACCTAGACGTCGATCACGTTTATCATGACTTTCACATCTTTGCTGTTCGATAATAGGTAGAGTTTGCATTCATTTCATCAAAGGAAACGATCTAAACTTAAGAAATCAAGCCGAAAAACAATGTTGAGAGTAAAAAAAAATTCGGAAATATTTCAAAAAATTAAAAAACACTAACGGAGTTGGAAAAAGATTCAATGGGCGCAAGTGAACAGAAAAAACACGAACTTATTTTTTGAAAAATCTGTTGAGTTTCAAAGAAACATTAGATAGACTTAAAGTAGGTAGACGCCCATTGCGCCGAAGACAAAAAAATGTCATCCGAAATTGTTGTCAGGAAAAATTTTGAGCAATTAAATTTTCAAACTTTGAAAACTTGCAACAAAAACTACCAAAATAAAAAAAAACTCAATCAGTTTTTCCATTTAAAACTACACAAATGAAAAAATTAAGCCAGTAAAACAAAACAAAAGCATTTAGGCCCAAAACTTTTAAACGAAAAAAAGGAAAACCAAAAAATATATAAAATATCAGTGCTATCAATTTGACAAATTACAAGTGTAAATCAAAAATACATTTACGATAAAAATTGCTGACAGAACAAAAAAAACCAATGTTGCAACTAAGCCGACAAAACATAAGCAGACAAAGGAAAGTCCAAGAACTCCATTTTTCCGGGAAAAAAATCAATTTCATACATACTGAAAGTGAGAACGAACCTTGAAGTTGTTATGATTCAATAATGAAGCAAGTAAGAAAAGCAAGAAAGAACTAAAAGAAAACAAGCGTATAACGCACCTCCGGTGCTTCAAACAGATTAATAAACGTGAAAACTGCTGATATACAATTTATGAAAAAAACTTACTGAATACAACTGTAAGGATAGACATGGGCACCAACAGCACTTTTTGATTTCCAAAACTGAACGATAAACAAGTTTTAACAAAGGTTCTTATGAAGCTAAAATGGTCAAATCTCCAAAACTACTGGGTTTCAGATCTTCGCATTTTCAACTCAGAAAGAAAACCCTAAAATGGCCGTTAGCATACAACTGGATTTTGTATATTTAAAAATTTCCATGAAAAACTCAATGAATTCATAAATGAGATTCTTGTTTAACTTAGATTATTCTTTTCATTGGCCCGCACGCATATGATTTGATGCCATTATTAGATATATCCAGCGTAATAAAACAAAAAACAACACTTTTTTCTTCGTTTAATGAAAAATTTTGGAACATCAGAAACTTCAGTTTCAAAAACTTAAAGAATTTGAGCAATAAAACAAGGATGAACGCCAAAATCTACAACTGCTGGTAGTAACTCCTAATTTCAACGTGCCTCGACACTTTCCAATTTTGAAAAAAAAAATCTATGAAATCTAACTTTTTTGAAAAATCATGAAAACGTCTTATCTAGTTAAGCGAAATGCGCTGAGCAGTCATATTTCGAGTACATATAAAAACTTCATGTGAATACCTTGACAGCACCCTACAATAGTGTTGAGAATTCCAAACTTTGTTAAGTTTTTTAGATTAAATTTTGAAATTATTTGACAAATTGAAAAACGTCATGTCTCGGAAACTAAACGCATTTGAGCAGCCACAGTTGGAGGCAGGAATCGCAACCCCTGATAGTACCCCTACAACTCCCAACTACAAGGTTGGGAATTTCAACTTCTGTGAAATTTTGCAAATCTAAATCTTCTGAACAACTTTGAAATCTTTTAAAGCACGTCATATCTCGAAAACTAAAAACAATTGAGAATTCAAAATGTGGCAAGAATTGCTACGTCTGAGAGTGCCCTGACAGTTGCTCAATATAAAGATGAGAACTTCAAGTTTGGTGACGTTTTTACATCTAAATTCTTTGAAAATTTTTGAAAAAATCATAAAAAACGTCAAATCTAGAAAACTACATGAAGTTGAAAGGTCATATTTGTAGGCAAGATTCTCAACCCTTGAGAGTACCCTGACAGCACCCAAATAAACGGACCCAAATCAACAAAAAAGCGCCGAATCTCGTACACTACAAGGATTTGGTTATTCATAATTTGAGACCAAATTCGCAACCCCTGGGGAAACCCTGACAGCATCCCACTATTGGGTTGCTAATTTCAATTTTGGCGAAATAAACACTGAATTCAAACTGGAAAAAACTCTTAACCATTGCAATATACGATATAGATTAAACGTGAAAAAAATACTTTCGTTAAAGATGCAAAAATAATACATCGAAAAAACTTAATCAATATCTGTTGTAGGTCATTATTAAGAAACACTACCAAAAGAATGTCGCGTCAAAAATTAAATTAAAACCCTTGATAGTATAGGTACACAATGGAGACAAAAAGTCCAACTGTCGGAGGAGAGTGAAATACTGCAATAATCATAGAGAAGGCCAGCCAACGATTATACTCGTGATAATCACCACAAAGTGTATATTTATGTTTCAACACAATGCATTAATGAAGTATCCGTATTCTTTATCATCGAAAAAAAAACTGATGAAGGAATCAAACTATTTTACTTTAATAGATTCTTTATGTAAATGCAAATTTTCAACAGATTTCCTCCAATTTAATATCGAAATTTGAAAAAAATCATCTTTGAAAAGTCTACATGAACGTTTTATAAGCTCAGTGCTCAGGTCATTTTTATAAAATGGTAAAGAAAAACGGATATCAGAGATTATGGTTATTTATATAATATACTGATTCATATACAGGCCCTTTTGGCAGATAATACAACTTGGCATAGAAGTATAGATAAATACACACAGTTTTCACAAGATACTTCACTTCACGAAACATTAAATCATTTCACACCTCTCTTGACCTTTAACATCATCATATAAGAAATTATCACAGCGATCTTGACTTGACGATCTGAATATCAAAACCCAAGCTCCAGTTTTGCATAATTTATTCAATAAATCAATTATTCACACGATATTTATCAACGTGTTTGTAACATCTTGGCTATTTTACTGGTCTCAGCCTTAACCGATGGAATATACAAGTATAAAGCATTATCTAAATTTTTTTCGAGATAAAACTCTGGTTTTACACAAAATGAAGATGAAAATTAAATGAAAAATGATTTGTTTGTGCTAATAGGGGCCTCATCAACTATATTTCTATTTACCAGCTAGACTCACCACCTCATTACTCATTAACAGTGAAAGGGAACTCATCCGAAGAGTCAATCAGTATTCAAACCGATATGATGTAATCTAAATTGGTCATAACCGGAGTAGTCGTTTATCATGTCTGTGAGTTTCAGCTAACGGACCAGTGTGCTAATTAGACCGGTGTGCTAGTAGACCAGTTGTATTGAAAAATCGTCTGCAATGTTGACGTCTGGCTTTCGCACTGTGGCTGATTTGGAGGCGGGGTCGTAGAGCACCACTAATGTTTTGGATTCACCACCTGAACAAAAACACTTCAAAACTGTGACAAACGATATGGCTTTGAACTACATTATGATCTCGAATGAACGGAAATAAACAGAAAAAATAAAACTGAGTTGTTTTTTGAAAAAATCTTCTAAGTTCAAAGAAAGTATCTCAAAGTTCCAAGAAAAAATTGGCCTAAAAGCTCCTTGAATTTCTAGAACAACAGACATTTGAAAAAGAGTCAGTGAACGCAAGCAAACAATAAATACCTTTAAAACTCTTTAAAATTCGAGATCAACTTATGATTTAAACTTTTTTGACAAAAACTAACCCAATTTCAGAAAACTGAATCAATAGGTAAAATTTAAATTTCACTGAGAAATCTGATAAATAAACTTCATTTTCGAGGCTAGCAGTCGATCACGTTTTTCGTGGCCTGCCTTTTAACATAGGAAACGAATTGAACTTACAAAGAAATTAAAAGCCAAACCGCAAGAAAGCAAATTTGAGCCGAGCCTGATCAAATTTTCCTGAAAAAAAATCATCACGACATATGCATGAACCTAAACTACGTTCATCGAGTCTTCTAAGCATTTGACCAAGACGCAAAAAAGAGCTTCGCATAACGTGCGATGAAAAATAAACTGTGTAGCCTACAGACAGTTGGAAAAGTGACAGTGAACGCAACGATACACAAAAAACTGACTTGAATAGTTGAAAACTTCAACTTCTGAATTTCAAACATAGCCAACAGACAGTTGGAAATTAGTCGATGAAGGCACATAAACAGGAAATATACTGACTTTATGTGGAAAAAATCTTAAACTTCTAACTTCAAGAACATAGTCAACACAATTATAAAAGAGGCAATGAACGCAAGTTAACAAAAAATCCTGACTTGTTTTTTTAAAGAATCTCAACTTGAAATTCAAAAAAAATACCTGTTAAGCTCTTGAAAATGCGAGATTAACTTAAGATTGAAATTTTTTTGACAAAAATTAACCCAATTTGAGAAGGCAATTTTCAATATGTAATTTTCAATTTTTATTCCACTGGGAAATCTAGAAATTGAAATCCACTTCCGAAACTAGCAGTCGTTCACGTTTTCTGTGACCTTTGCCATGTTTAATTTTGATAATGCAGTTTGCCTTCGTTTTAACGTTGAGCTGAACTTAAACAGAAATCAAGTGTCCACCAACGAACAATTAATTAGAATTGAGTCTGAACAAATTGACATTTTCTTGATTAAAAGTATCGTCATGAACCACACATGTGTCCTCACTATGTTCAATGCCTTCAAAAACCGTATCCAAATCACATTTTTGAATTTTTAAAACAAAAAAATATATATAGCCTTCAAACTCTTTGAATTTTAAGAATTCAAAGATTGACATTTCTTTGCTAAAAAAATCTTAATTCAGAAAAGTTGTTCACGTTCGATGTTTTGCTCTTGGGCTTTCGATTTCTTTGAAATCGCTATTCAAAATTATAAGCTAAATGGAAGGCAAGTTCCGCTCTCCGACTATGAAGTGCAAATGGTGCAAAAAATGTGAGCGATTGATAGCGCGAAATGGATCAAAAAATAAACTCTACTATTGCGCTGAAAACTCTAAAAACTGAAGTCAAATTTTGAAAAATATCAATCACTCATAAACTTTTGCGCCATTTACACTTTCGTTAATGGAGAGTATAACTTGCCTTCCAGTCAGCTAGTGAAATTGAATTTCACTTACAAAGAAATCAAAAGCCACACAGCAAAAAAAAACACTAGAAAGATTAAAAGTTTTCTTCTGAACTAAATCAACACGACCTTCATAAATATCTTTACTACGTTCATCAACAAAAAACTGCAACATAACACCCAATCTTTTATAAAATTGAAAAAAAAAATCCTAATTCGAACGAAAAATAGGCAACGTTTCTTAGAACTCAATCAAACTACTCGCACTATTAGAAATAAATCAAAATGTCTTTCAATTTTTCTCTTTAGAATTTTCTGTTTGCCAGAGAAAAGCGAAAGGAAGCTCCCAGAACTAGTTTTCCTTTAAGTAAGTCAAGTTTTTTTTAGCTAAAATTGCTAACTTTCGAAAAGCCGACGAAAAAAAAGATAATTTCAAAACAAGTTCACTCGACACCAGGAAAATTTTTAAAGGTCGTTTGCATCCCGACTAAAAAGGCTTTAATATGATATATCACTCAAACTTTTCCGATGATTATTTGTGATACCTGATTTTGCGCCGAAAACAAAACAATGGTCGAAACAATACGGCTGAAAACCACCGTAATTTCGATCAAATAGGGAGACCAGTTGATAATGTCGTCCTGCTTTTGACACTTTGCTCTATGCGCTTTTGTTCATTTTGGACAGATATTCTGGACGGAGCATTATATTACTGATCTGAGAGTAAAAGTCTTAAATCCTTTTTCACAAACCGGTGAGATCTGAATATAATTAGAGAGAATGGTAGTAATTGATGAAGACAAGTCAGTTTATAAGCGATATCTTTTTCTTTAAGTTTAAATTGGAAACAATCCTGCTTCAGAATAGAAACTAACCTGACGTGAGGATGGCTTCCTTGGGCTGTTTTGATACATTCAGCACAATTACTCGCTCCACCTTCACCTTAGTCACGAATTTCTGGGATCTGGAAACAAATGACATTTAGATGAACACTTGAATCTCGCCTTTAGATTTATAATTTTTTATGATTTTCTTGGAAGACTTAAAATTTCCAATAAAAAAACAAAGCCAATCGAAGATTGGAAAAGAGTAATGAACGCAAGTTAACATAAAAAACACTGACTTTCTTGAAAAAATCTCAACTTTCGAATTTAAAAGAAAAAATAGATGCCCTTTAAGCTCTTTGAGTTTCTAGAGCAATTTATGATTGGCGTTTTTTTGATAACCTGAACCCAACTTCAGAAAACCGTATCAGTAGGTAAAGTTTTTATTCCGCTCCGCCGCGTGGGAAACCTTAAAACTAAAATTCCACTTTCGAAACTAGTTCCACGTTCGTATTTGGAGAGTCCTATTTACGTCACTTTCAGCAGATGAATTTCAATTGAACTCAAAAAGTGCATTATACCTAAGTGCATCAATATTTTTAGACTTTTTCCTGGAAAAAAAACAAACAACAATCAGCAAGACCTATATAAGAGTCTTCACTACGTTCATTACTCTTAATCATTAGTTTGACGTCGAATGCGGTACAAGAAAAAACTGTTAACTGGCAGTTAAAAGTTGACAATGAAACGGAAATTTGAGTTTTACATAAAAAAAATAACCTTGAAGCTCCAAGATTAACACTTTTCGGACAAAAATAACTCAATTTAAGAAAATTAGATCGACAATTTATCTTTTTATTACAGCCAAGCAAAATAACGGTAGGGCCCTGAATAACATGCTTAGCCACAAGGCGCATCCACCCAATGAGAAAAGCTTCGTAAAAAAACAGGTTTTTATTTGCCTTGATAACTCTGCGCTTATGATAGAGAAAGCGATATTTCTTGATTCATTATAATCTCACCTGTGTTTTGACGTAAAAGGAAAAAATCGTATAACTTATAATCATGGATTATCTCACCATATTTGTGAAACAGTGAAACGCGAAATTAAACCTTTAGTCAAGAAAACCGTTGCCACAACTCACCCGTGCACAGGTACTTGTGTAGTAAACCCTGGCTCTGCCACTATCCTCTTGGCCATAGCGCACTTCAGAGTGGCCTCAGAGGCGGAGTAAGAGAAGTATCTGTAGAGGAACTTGCCCATCCTGTATTGGAAAGTGTGTTCATCGTCCAAGTAAAGATCACCCTCTGCAAAACCCTACACACAAAATGGTCTGAAATCAACCTCCATTGGCTCATTTTTAACATGAATCATTGTTTCAATGTTGATTTTGGATTAAATAACACAATGCAACATGTCTGAAAAAAAATGAATTAATGGTTCAAATAGGTAAAAAGATATCAGTTCTAAAACATTAGACACATAGTCGATCGAAGCTTCGCATCAGTTGCGACGCGACAATAAAATTGCATCCTAGCGAACAGAAATTTAAACGGAAATCATTAAGTCGATAAAAACATGAAAAAAAATTGAAAAACACAATTGCCAGCATTGCACTTGCACTCAGAAAAATTCCAACAACACTAAGCAGACAATTAATTGCAATAAATAATTTTGAGCTATTAACTTAAAACTCAAAATTTTGTGCCCCCCATGAGACACAGGAAACGATAAAACTTTCTTTTCTTTCAAACAACGCAACATTAGATTACTAAGCCGAAACCATTTATGCTGAAGCGAAAGAGAAAAAATGAAATTTTAAAAGATGCAAAATCAGAGTAGGCAAGTTTTCAAGTAACAGAAATAAGTCAAAATTACTTTTAATTAGAGTGAAAGTTACTTAAATCACAAGAAAAGTTCACGATGTGACAACTAAGCCGATCAACAATAAGCCGGCAATAGATAGGGCTTTCATTACTTTTTGAAGCGGAACAATTTTCCAGTTTGCAAACAGAAACAGGTATTGACCGGATTGGAACTCAGAACCTTTGCCGTCCAAGGAAGAGACGTTACCACAACTCCAAGTGTGCCGGACAACAGGTTGTGAAATTTTTGATTCAAGGATTCTGTTAGACAAAACGTTTACATGGGAAAAAGGCAGTTTCCATTTGTAAAAGCCGCCTGCTAATCGCAAGCTAAAAATTTCCCATCGACACTAAATTTGCTAGCGCTATTATTTTTGATTGAGAGCTTTGAAGTTCTCAAACCAAAATAACCCCTGCCAACCAAAAATAAACCCATCTGTTCCGTAACTGCTGGTAGAAACAAATTATAATTTATGCATTTTTATACACCTCATCCAACTAAGCAAGTTTTCTCGGTTGCTGTGTAGGCAGCACAGAAATTTACACCCAAAGATTATTGCAAAAAAAAAGAAAAAAATATTAAAACGTGTTGAGATAACTTTCTACTGCTTCCTATTGAGAAGTTGAAATGATGCTTGAGGAATTATTTCATTCTTACAGCGCTTATAAGCTGAAAAAAAGACTAAAAAACGGGATCTCTTAGCAGATCCCGGGTCGGGAACAGATCGTGAAAATTGACCATGAATTGTAAAAAAAATGTTGACCAGATTTTCACGACAGAAAAAAAAATAATTTTGGAATCTAATACACAGCTTTACGAGCTATGACAAGAAACCAAATTTGACCCCTATCATGCTTATTTGAGGTAGTCAAATTCAGCTAAAAAATAGTACGCCATAGTTAGTTCCCAGTATACGAAAGTGGTCATCCAAAAACAACCATTATTCGTCTTAGAATTTACAAAAAAAACTACGCCATTTTCTTTAATTTAAAGAAGAGCAGTCGATTTCCTTTTTCACAATTTTCAATTTTCGACTTTCGAATTTTCTCAATTCTTAACAGGTCAATTTTTATTTGAAAACCTTATAAACTCACTAATTAGAAGGCGTCAAATGGTCATAAAAATGGAAAAATTGGTAGAAATAAATTGAGAATCTCGGAAAACAATCAGACCATCTTTCGAGATAAAATAAATGCCTTAATTAATATCTATTTGAATCTGCTCATTCAAAACAAGTCTATCAGCTCGTGTCTGTTAGGTATCACCCAATGTCTGAAAAAAATATATTGGAAAACCATTCTGAAAAAATTCATTGGAATTTTTTTAAACAAGAATCATATTTGGTGAGGAGACTAGCTTGGTAAGATGACTAGCTCGTGATTCGGACAAAACTGAAACCGGTCAATAGTTCAATACTTTTTAAACAACGGAAAACCTGAAGGAAAACTAACTTTGAGAAAAATTAGTCAAGTAAATTGGATTGATTTTGATTATAGTCTTAACAAAACAACATTATATTATAATGAACTACTGGAAAAGCCTCTGAACCATACAGATGCAAGATTGCGCTTCGCACAAAATAAAACTCAATGTAAGGAATCTCCTAAATCACAATTGCAAAACAGTTAATGAAGTCGAGGAGACAGAAAAAATCTGATGAACTTTTTAATCTGATTGACTTCCAAGTTTCCGAGATGAAACGACCATGTTAAAGCGCTTTGAATTTCGTGAATCTTTTGTAATTTTTCTTGATAAAAGCCAACTCAACTTGAGAAATCTGAATTAATAGATAATTCCCTTTTTTAATTGAACTTTGGTTATTCGAGAGCGGAAATCTTTTTAGCTAATGAATTTCCATTAAAATTTTACAAAGTAAACAAACTTGTTTTTTTTCTGCTTTTTTAGGAAAAGTTTTCAGCACAATCTATATAAGTGTCTTGACTAAGTTCATTCAATACGAATAAAAGAACCCAAGGTAAAACACAAGGTTTGCGCGTGTCATGATATAATAGCCAAGCTTGTTTTACTTGAAGAAATCTTTGTGCCAAATTTCGATTGATAAATATGTTCCGAGCTCAGGAAGTGGGACAAAAACTGTGGCTCAGAAAGGCTCTTTTCGCGCAATTCTATCAACCTCAAGTGAAGCTCGTATTTGGTAAAAAACATGGGGTACCAGATTGAAGCTTTTCCACTGCGATTGGGAAACATAGCAAACAGACATTTAGAAAAGTGCGTCGAGACGTCAGTGAAAGCTTTAATTTTTTTTTTGAAAAAAAATAACTTGAGTTTCTGATAAAAATATATTACTTGAAAATCCTTTAGTTTCTGAAATCTTTCGCGATTGAAAATTTTACGATAAGACTGGTATAATTTGCGAAAAGTGGACCACGAGACAAATTTTACTCACAGAGAATTCTGCAAACACCTACACAATTCAGAATATTACAGACCTTGAAGGCATTCGCGTTTTTCGTGCCCTATACAATTTTACATTTCGAAAGCAGTTTATTCTTTCCTTTTACACAGAGGCAAAGCTGCTCTTTGCAAACACAAGCAAGAAAACGACTAAAATTCGCTGTAAAAATTATTAATGAGAAAAAAAGGTAAAACAAGCCTCCAAAATTTTTAACTTTTGCTGCGGCGGATTCGAATTTACGATTAGAAATCTTGCAGTCGCACGCCGTGGCACCTGCGCACGAGCCCTTGAAAACTAGCAATAACCACTAATGAAGCAGCTAGATATGCTAATGAACTGATAATGCTATGCAGCAGAAGTCACACCAGATATAAATAGACACAAATTTCGCATGTAATACTTTAGAAAATAATAAGCAAAAGGCAACTACAGTAACCTTATATACAACAAATTATGTATAAACTATGCATTTCAAAATAGTTGCCAGATTTATTCAGTTCGAAAACTTCTGAACTGGAGTTTTATTATTGTCCTTGATTGAAACAAATAGCTTTTTTCGGTTCATTGGATTACTCGTACTATTACACTGCGCTCGCGAAGGCTCGCTTTTGTAATTAACTTAAATGAATTAAACTCAAAAACAAATCAAAATTCAACCCGCTAAAAATCAGATATGAGACGGTACAAATTTCAGATTTTTCCTAGAAAAAAAAACATAAAAAAAACATCACGACTTTTATACGAGAAAATCACTCCGCTCCTTTACACTTAGAATCAGTTTCAAGAAAGCTGGTCCAAATCTTATTGTTTTCAGGCTTATATTCAGCAAGGAAGCGAGCTAGAAAACTACTCCCAATCAATATAATTTCAAAATCATTTTACGTTACTGAGGTAGCAATTGGATTTTCTTGAAGCTTAAGTTCCTGCTCTCTCGACCTTTTAATCCCCCCTCTCTTCACCCCCCTCCTAACAAAACTATTTCACAGAAGACTGATTACTGTCGGAACTTTCTGTACTACTTAAACAGCAAACGGCAAATCTTGTTTTACTAACGACTCATAGCGTTCAAGAAGTCTTAAACATTGAATAATTTCAACATAAGCAGTTGAAGCGCTAAATAAACCACTTTCGAATCAGAACTGCCGATAATCATACCCCCAACGTTATTGTGAAAACGGTATTGAGCCTCAATTAAACGAAACTTGCCATCAAAACAGCGGTGAACAAATGGCACATACCCTTAACATCCGGTGTACACAGCGTGAAAAACTGCAAAGCACATGTAATTGACTGAAACACATGCGAAACAGGCGATCAAAGTAAGTACTTGTTAAGAAAGGAAGCTAGGGATTGTTGGGATTAAAATAATGTTAAGAATGGGTTCAATATGGGTTTAATTCAGATGGCATTCCCTCACAACTCCAGGTGTTGAACAACTTAATCCTAAATTACATAAAAGAGCCCACGAGAATACTTAGACAAAAGCAAACAGCAAAATATTCAATTGAGACACAACAAACAACTTAAGGACCCACTTACAAAGCTCGCAAAAAAATTGAACAAAACTTTGTCTCGACTATTCCTACTTTGTATATCAGTATGTTTTGTTAACGTAATCGTCATCTTATTTTCATGTATTCTTTTCAACAGTTAACACAGTTCAATCCCAAATTGTTCGGAAAAATTAACTCCGAAAAAGTATTTGATCATTTATGTTCAAAAATTACAGCTAAAAATAACCTTTTACAATTTGAATGAAACGACACGACAGATGAATATAAAAATTACGCACCAAGAAATTTGAATTTTTTTAGTAAGATCTTCGTATGAATGTAATTTCAAACTACAACTTACAAATAATCTGTTTCTCTACCAACTTAACATATTTTACATTTGCTCGTTGGGTGTCAGCTATCGCAGCTGGATCATAACTTGTTTAGACTTCTGATAGGTAAACAACAACACTTGAAGTCTTCAAATCAAAACAAACTGCGGCTCAAACTTGAGCAAACATAGGTTAGTTATCAAAACAAAT